ACGACGAAGCTGACGTAGCTGCAGCAGCAGACAGCGACTCTGATGATGACGCAGACTCCGACGACGATGCTCAATAAGCTAAGACGTGAGAATCCCTCAAAAATCGTTAAAAAAAATGTATATTTTGTACGATATATATACATGTGTACATGTTCTATCTATGCAGCTCTCCAACCTAACACCTGATCTACAGTAAAACGGATATCATCTTGACCGCCAGGTTGTGTACACTAAAGACCTCTGAAGCATTGTCTTACAACAATGGGACCACATTTTGTTGCACTGTGTGGTGTTAAACCAGTTGTCCTTCGGGACAAATAAAGTTGACAGGTGACATTGATGTAAAAGCTTGTGACAACATGAAATAAAAGGTTTGTGTCAGTTTCAATATCTGCATTTTTGTGCTTTTTTTCTGTGTCTGTGTACCTGTAATATTTATTAATTCATTTCAAAACCACTTTTCTGGTGGCGATGAGATGGCGAATAGCATGACCCCCGCTGACAACGATTAGGTGTTGAGCAAAATGGACGCAGATGATGTGGCCAACATGATGACCTCCGCTGACGCAGATAAGGTGGTGGAGAGCGACATTCAATACGTTTACATGCATGCAGTAGTCGAATTAAGGTCATAGCCCGCCCCTTCTTGTCTTGTCCAAGTACAAAGTAGGTCTGAGTCTGCCTCGATGGGCGGTGCTGCATACTTTTTAATATAGTGCATAGTGAAATAGCTCCGGTTCTTGTTCAGAAACTTTTTATAATCAATTGGCGTTTTGCGATTTCCTACCATCCATAAACTTCATAATGTTTAGCTCCTTTAGCTGTCGGAGCATGAATGTAGTTTCCTCATCCGTCCAGAAGTGCGTCTTCTGCTTCTCGGTCACCATGGTGTGTGTTTGTTTGTTTTTCTGGGAGTTACTGCACTGCTGCTACATCATCTGCTTCTTCTTCAGGGTAAAAGCTTGCAAAAGAAATAATGGTACATGCATAAAATTATCTAGGTGTGTTAGTCGAGCTACGGATAGTCCAATTTCAGTTGGACTAAAGGCCCATTTATGCTCCCTTTACGTACGAAAATGTATACGTCCGTTTCAAACGATGTTACTGTCACTGCCCACATGCTTCCATGCGTCCTTTATGTTGGCATGGATGTTAACCAATATATCCACCAGGGGGCAGCCCAGAGTCAAAAGTTTATGACAACAACAAACTCAAAAACAAACATGGCGACTGTGGAGGAGATATTGATAATGTACCTCTTGCATAAAAGACAAAAACAGAGGGACCCCAGTCGGAGGGCGCAAGGGTCGGCCATGGGAGCGGAGAGGAGCCGGGAGGGTGGGGGGGCTACGCGGAGAGGGAGACCCGAGCTTCGGGGGTATGTGCGGGGCCGGGAGTGCGGGCTCTGCGGAGAGGGAGGCCTCCGTGTTTGAGACGGGAGCGGGCGGCGGGAGGTAAGACGCTCCCAGAGAGGGGAGAGGGAGAAATATAACAAAATAAGATAAAATAGGAAAAACCTGTCTCCCTCTTTTATTTTATTTTCAGCGTTTAAGGCGAAAAAGTTGTTATTAACTTAATGCCTGATCTACAGCAAAACTGGTATCATCATGACCACCAAACTATGTACTAAAAGCCATCTGAGGCATTGTCTTACAATAATGGGATGACATTTTATTGCACTCCATGGTGTAAAACCAGTTGTCTTTTTGGGACATATAAAGTTGACAGTTGAAGTTGTTATAAATGCTTGTGACAACATGAAAAAAAAAAAGGTTTGTGTCAGTTTAAATATCTGCATTTTTGTACTTTTTACTGTGTGATGAGGAACTGTGGACAGAGCAGAATGAAATATTGCTGTCTACATGTTTATTCTCACTGAATATGTGTATGTATGAGGTATTATAAGTATGAATACTTTTTACTCGCAAAGGTTTAATTGCACCTAACAAATGTAGTTGCCATCAACTCTAGTAATTTTTGAGCTATCTTCACTTTGTTTCCACCACAGCCTCTCTGCTGTTCACCAACATTACTCCGTGTCACGCGCACATGAGTGTGTGTGTCTGTGTGTGTGTCTGTGTGGTCGAGGTCAGCCCCTGCACCGAGTGCAGGTGAGAGGTTGCAGGATGATAATGAATCAAACCAAAATGCTTAAAAGTACTGATAAAAGACCCAATAACTTCGGTGCTTATCAGTACTATGGTCTTGGGAATTTAGCCCAGGGGCTCATTATACTAGATTTCAGTACCCATCCCTAATGTTGACTTAAGTTACCAACAGTACGCTGATTGTAAGCATAGATCCTCTTGCTGTGTTGTAAGGAAACTATTGGATGTATGACAGTGTTGTGGCATCTTTATTGGTCATGCTGAAACATAAAATAATACAGTCTGTTGATAGGAGAGTTCAGTGTCTGGGAGGTTTCCTACTCTGAGGTAGCGATGTGTGCTGACTGATTACTGCTCTGTGGTACAGACATGTTTATATTCGGGGGAGGGTTCATTATGTATTTTGTACTCATTCATTTGTTCATGTTTCATAACCACTTATCCTAGTACAGGGTTGCGGGGGGCTAAGTGAGGTACAGCCTGGGCAGGTCACCAGACTGTCACAGGGGCTAACACACAGAGACAGAAACCATTCACGCTCACATTCACACCTACTGACAATTTAGTCACCATTAATCTAGCCTGCATGTCACTGGATTGTGGGAGGAGACGGAGAACCCACAGGAAACCCACGCTGAAAAAAGGAGAACATCGAACTCCATACAGAAGGGCTCCGGCCGACTGGTGGATTCAAACTGACAAACAAATCAGCCTCATTCTGAGAGTCAGCACCTTCAAGTCTGAGGCCATATTTGCCCCTTCTGTGCTAGGAGAGAGTTACAGCCTAAAACAAATAATGCTCCTGGGGCCAAGAATAAATTTTCTTGAATCTACCTTTATATACAGGTCCATTGTAATCTGAAATTCTCTTCCTATTGATATAAAATCTACTATGAATGAAAAAATTACCATTAAAAAGCTTACAAAGAAATATCTTGCCATAAGATAAGCACACAGCCCTATTTGAATGTACTTATGTTCTTATTTTTATATCCTCATTCTTCTATAAATGTATCTGTTGGACTTCTGGCTATGTCATGACCAAGAAAGATGATTGAACACCCAGCTCCACCAGACCCTGAACTAAAATAGCCTAAAGCAGAGATGTAGTCGACAAATGAACACTAGACTGCATGACAAACTCTCGACTACAATGAGCTTGAGTCAGAAAACGAACAAGAAGGACACCAAATCAGGAAAACATGACAAAATTAAGGCCGGCACAAAGCAGCTAATGCTAGCTGCAATGATGCCAGGCGTGGCTTGCAGTGAAACAAGTGGAGAGTTGGAGATGCTAGCAGGGTTGAGGAAACTCAGACAGGAGAATAGTGACTCTTTGCGGGACACCAAACTGTCCCTCAACAGGCTGGAAATATCCATGGGTGAGATGAAGAAGCAAGTGGAGAAGCTGGATGAAAGAGTAACGGCTGCAGAAAATAGAGCAAGCACCACAGAAGACAGGAGTATACGCCAAGAGAGAGCTATGGGATATTTACTAAGGAGAGAGGCTAGCTAGCCCGCAACAACTTCGAGGTGTACAGGATAAGAAAGGGCGCAGAGGAGAATGACGTTATCGTTCATGACTGACGTTTTAGAGACAACACTAGAGCTGCAGGGAGGACTGGCAGACAGGTGCATAAAAATGTGCTCAATGGAAAAAAAGTCCATGTAAAGACAGGCAGGTTTTTGATCCTATGGGCTCCTGTCATTACATAATTTAGATTACGGAGTCATAGGGTGCTGTGCTGATTTAATTGTGAATTTGGCCAAAACTGATATTGACTTATGTTAATGTATTTTTATTTCATTTTATTGTTTAACTATACCAATTAATTAATTTTTTGAGACTCTTTATGTGGATTTACATGCTGCCATAATTTGCAGTTTGCATGTTTGGTTGCCTATCTGTGAATCTTTTTTTTAAATTATTTCCTGGCATAGAAGCAATGTAAAATTCAAATTTGAATGAATGTTTTGTTAAATAAATACATTTACCTGATTAGTGTGCTTGTTTTATTATCACTTTTGTTTGTAGTGTTTTTCCTTTCTGCTGCTTTGTTGAATTATGGTTTAGTCTACATTTACATCTCATTTTATATCATTTGAGTATCAGTTTGGTATTTTGATTGTTTATAGATCTTAATTTGTCTGTACTCCTATTTTATGTTTGTACTTAATTTCAAATGTGGAGGACCCCAGGAAGACTAGGGGCACATTCATATGTTTATAATGGGGATCTTTGAATGAACAGTAAACAACTGTTAGCATTAAAAGAGTAAAAGGATTCCAGGAGCACCCTGCAGTTTCCCCACCCTTGTTTAAAACCAGTTGTTTGCTGAGTTGGTCAGTTAATTAGCAAACTTACCTGAGCCTCAGGATATTAGCCAAATTAGAGTGAGAGTTAAAAAAACAAACAAAAAAGTTTTTGAGCATCTAAAAGTCAGGTCACTTTTGTGGTTGAACAGTTTTAGAGGCTCTTTGTTCAGATTATTTTTCCTGAAAAAGACTTTCCAGACTTGTGTTAATTATTGTGTGATTTGAAATGTGCCATACTCATTTTTTATATGATTAAGAATATGTCAGGCAAATACGAATACAATAATGCTTTGTGTTTTTATAAGTTAAATATGTTTAGAAATAAACAAATATCAAAACCACAGCTGTACAATCAACGCCAGGAGGCTCCCAATTATTTCACTGAAGGACTTCCAAACATACTGTACACCTGATCAATATTCAGTATTAGCAAATAAAAGTGATACAAGCGTTCACTTGATCCTTGATGTCACAGTGTGTCTTTGCATTACATCAACAGCCTTCAGGCATTGTTTGTCAAAGACCATCAAACCCTGGAAACTTTTCATTGGATGCTGTACTTACTGTAAACAAACATACTTTGGTCAAAGGGGTATAAATTTGAGGTGCATCGGTCAGACAGTCAGAATACTCCTGTTTCGAGTTGAAGTCATTTGGACCTGAGAGCAACTGCAAACTGAAGGTGAGTCCAGTACATTTATTCCACTCCGTTCACAAACCCAACAGAGTCAGTTACTTAAATGCTCACAGTCCGTTTGATAGTATTTATGTAAGTTTTTATGATTTCTTTCAGAAAATGAAGATCCAAATTTTGGTGCTGGCCTTTGCTTTGGTGGCTGTGATCACTGCAGCACCAGCAGCACCAGCCAAAAAGGCTGCTGCAGTAGACCCAGGTAACTAGATGATCTAATGTAATGTGATAGTTGTCATAATACTTGAAGTAGTGTGATATGTGCACCAGATGTCTTATGTATTGATGCAATTCCATATCTCTGTATGTATGTTAGGAAGTCAATGTCTTGTGCAATTTTTAAAACAATTACAGAACTTGTCAAGTTCTTTACAGACAACAGTTTGACTAACTGTCTTTTATTTATGGATGCAATTTCTTCTAAAGATGAAAAGGCTCTGGACGATGCTATTGCCAAGAACGGCCCTGCAATAGACAAGGCGCTCAAAGACGTCACTGACGACGATGCAATGTCCGACTCTGACATTCAGGACCTGGCTGTGAGCAACATGAATGACGCTGATGCAGATGAGGTGGCAAGCAACATGACCTCCGCTGACACAGATGACACGTTGAGCAGCTTGGATGAAGATGATGTGGCCAGCATGATGACCTCCGCTGATGCAGATGAGGTGGCAAGCAACATGACCTCCGCTGACGCAGATGATCTGGTGGCGGCCAGTGACTCTGACGATGATGCAGACTCCGACGAAGACGCTGATGTAGCTGTAGCAGCAGACAGCGACTCTGACGATGATGATGATGCAGACTCCGACGACGATGCTGACGTAGCTGCAGCAGCAGACAGCGACAATGACGATGACGCAGACTCCGACGACGATGCTGATGTAGCTGCAGCAGCAGACAGCGACTCTGACAATGACGCAGACTCCGACGACGATGCTGATGTAGCTGCAGCAGCAGACAGCGACGATGACACAGACTCCGACGACGATGCTGACGTAGCTGCAGCAGCAGACAGCGACTCTGACAATGACGCAGACTCCGACGACGAAGCTGACGTAGCTGCAGCAGCAGACAGCGACTCTGACGATGACGCAGACTCCGACGATGATGCTCAATAAGCTAAGACGTGAGAATCCCTCAAAAATCGTTAAAAGAAATTGTATATTTTGTACGATATATATACATGTGTACGTGTTCTATCTCTGCAGCTCTCCAACCTAACACCTGATCTACAGTAAAACAGGTATCACTTGACCGCCAGGCTATGTACACTAAAGCCCTCTGAAGCATTATCTTACAATAATGGGACCACATTTTGTTGCACTGTGTGGTGTTAAACCAGTTGTCCTTCGGGACAAATAAAGTTGACAGGTGACATTGATGTAAAAGCTTGTGACAACATGAAATAAAGGGTTTGTGTCAGTTTCAATATCTGCATTTTTGTGCTTTTTGTCTGTGTCTATGTAATAAACCACCGTTTATTACTGAACAGTACAGGTTACTGTTGGCCGTAACTACACCAAAACAACCATCAAACAAGAACTTAGCTGTAACTCCAACTGTGCACTCCTGCTCTCTCCTCCAGTTCGCTCATACACACACCAGCACGCGCACTCACACAGCTCTCATCCCTGTCACACTCGCACCCCGCCCCCCTACCTATACTCATTCAATCCCAAACATGCCATTAACTCACAGAACATTGACATTATAACAGAACATTTACTGCAGGGTCGCTACAATATCGTAACATGGTTTAGATTCCTAAATATATATTTACCTCGTCGCTAGATAGGCCTACTCCTGTCCTACGAGGCCACCGTCACTTACCTGACGGGAGGGGTGAGCGAGTGAGCGCGGGTGAGCCCTGCAATCTAGAATTTGACTGCTGATGTCACTGTTACTCACCATTTTTACACACTGAGGTTTTAAGATCCATCCTGGATTGAAACTTGGTCTTGTGGAATAAATTTGTGACTTGAAGACAGTGTGCAGTGTTTCTTTTCTGCATTTATGTTGTTTGTTTTAATAGTCATGCACATCTTATGTGTTGTGCGTATGATTACACTACTTACATTGTCAAATAATTTATTTGTAGGAGCACACAGGGCAGCACGGTGGTGTGGTGGTTAGCACTCTCGCCTCACAGCAAGAGGGTTGGCGGTTCGATCCCGGGCGTGGGAGCCCTTCTGTGCGGAGTTTGCATGTTCTCCCCGTGTCAGCGTGGGTTCTCTCCGGGCACTCTGGCTTCCTCCCACAGTCCAAAGACATGCAGGTTGGGGACTAGGTTAATTGACAACTCTAAATTGTCCGTAGGTGTGAATGTGAGCGTGAATGGTTGTTTGTCTCTATGTGTCAGCCCTGCGATAGTCTGGCGACCTGTCCAGGGTGTACCCTGCCTCTCACCCGATGTCAGCTGGGATAGGCTCCAGCCCCCCTGCGACCCTCAAGAGGATGAAGCGGTTAGAAGATGAATGAATGAATGAAAGGAGCAAACAGAGATGACAAGAAATATAAGTAATGATGACAGCAAAAACTCTCTCAGTGATCACCATGTCTTGTCCTCTGAAGATTATTTAGTTATTTAAAGGGCCACTGTGTAAAATGGGTTGAAAAATGTTGAAAACAGTGACATCAGTGGTCAAATTCTAGATCGCAGGGCTCACTCGCTCACCCCTCCCGTCAGGTAAATGACGGTGGCCTCATAGGGACAAAAAGCCTTGCGCAGACACAAGTTTTTCAGGAGTAGGTCTATCTAGCGACGAAGTGAATGTTTATTTAGAAATCTAAACCATGTTACGATATTGTAATGAATCACTCACGAGCAGGAGACCAGAGTAGCGTTCGGGAAAAAGGCCAGTTTATTTAAGCACTCCAAAAACTCCGGTAACACTCCAGGGGGTAAAAGACTCCGTCCCAAACTCTGACTCTTCTAGCGTAACACACACACTCCATACACACATACTCGTTTACAATACCTAGCGGGCACCCCCTCCCCTCTCTGCTCCGCCAATCTCCAGCCCGCACACTGACTAACAGCGTAGCCGGTAAACAGAGCTCAGCTGTTTATTTAGCCTAGCAATATCTCCGGACTATAGTAGCTGCAATGGACTTTGAACGCAATGGACTTTGAACGCAATTTTGAAGAGTTTCTTGTAGCGGACACAGACCCAGAGCCATACCTGTTTGAGCCGGAGCATACAGATGACGAACTTGGATGCTGAGCGGGTGAGAAGAGAGGCTGAATCCTCAGCTCCCATCTTGCTGCACAGAATGGGATTCGGTGCTACTGCTACCATCGCTGGGGAGATATATCATCAGGAGGGAAAGCGCTGCAGAGAGTGCATCACAAGGAGTGAAGTTGCGTCTTCTTTTCCTCGCAGATGACGGTTCGGGTTCATTCTCTCCTGTTGCGTGGTAAGTGTGGTCCATTCGCAAACTTAAAAAATAAAAAAACCTTTCACTACTCTCTATCGACGAACTACTAACACTCTCTGCTGTTTCCTCCTCCTTCTTCCTTCCTTCCTTCCGCTGTCTTCGTTGGTTTATTTATATACTCAAAACGCGTTCTCTGACTGGCTGGATTCTCTGGTCGGTCTGCCGTACATACAAGGCGGTGCAAGATGGCGACCTCTCTAAAGCAAGGCCCTTGCTATATATATATATATATATATATATATATATACATAAAAGCATAATTATAAGGCTAAGAAAACCAAACGAATTTTATTTTATAGCGATTATACACTCATATAAACATATTAATGGGTAGAATATTCAGAATCAGATTTGACAATAAACCATGCCAAATATTACGCACTGGCCCTTTAATGTTTATTACTCCAGGGACAAGTATATTAAATGGGACCAGGATACACGCAGAGCCATCTGTAACACATTTATTAAATGTTCTGTTGTCATTATGAGCACTTGTCTGAGCAACATCTGTTCATAATATAATGTAAGGTACCATTTAATCTCAAGAGTACATAAGACACAGATTACTGAGTAAGGATCATGTCAGCCTAACTTATGTGCTTCACACATTTACAAGTACAAAAAAATAAAACTGTATATTTTGTATGATATAATTACATGTGTATTTATTGTACCTCTGCAGCTCTCCAACGTGACGCCTGATCTACAGCAAAATTGGTATCATCATGACCACCAAACTATGTACAATAAAGCCATCTGAGGCACTGTCTTAATGATAATGGGATCACATTTTATTGCACCTTATGGTGTAGAACCAGTTGTCTTTTTGGGACAAATAAAGTTGACAGTTGAAGTTGTTGTAAAAGCTTGTGATCACGTGAAATAAAAGGATTGTCTCAGTTTCAATATCTGCATTTTTGAGATTTTTTACTGTGTGATGAGGAACTGTGGACAGAGCACAATGAAATATTGCTGTCTACATGTTTAAGCTCACTGAATATGTGTATTTATGAGGTATTATAAGTATGAGTACTTATAATACCTCATAAATACACATATTCATGAGGTATTATAAGTATGAGTACTTTTTACTTGCAAAGGTTTAATTGCACCTACAGTAATGAATGTAGGTGCCATCAACTCTAGTAATTTTTGAGCTATCTTCACTTTGTTTCCACCACAGCCTCTCTGCTGTTCACCAACATTACTCGTGTCACGTGCACATGAGTGTGTGTGTGTGTGTGTCTGTGTGGACGAGGTCAGCCCCTGCACCGAGTGCATGTGAGAGGTTGCAGGATGATAATGAATCAAACCAAAATGTTTAAAAATACTAACTAGAAAAGCACTCAGACAGTGCAGACCTCCGCCAAGTAGGTGATATCCCCCCCCCCCCCCCCCGTCATCCCCCCCCCCTCCCCCCCCCCCCCCCCCCCCCCCCACGTTAGGTAATCGCTAACTTTCAGCTAACTTACGCTAACCGCTAACGTTTGTCAATTGCTAACGTTATGCTACCTTTTGTAACGGCAGGAATAAACACACCTGTAGGAAAGAAATAGGCAACGTTGCCATTTATGGCTGTTTAAAAATGTGCTGGCTCTAGTACCAGAAGATGAAGATGTCTTCAATGTAATCGCTAACGTTAGGTAATCGCTAACATTGGCTAACGTTAGGCAATCGCTAACGTTGGCTAACATTAGGTAATTGCTAACGTTTAGCTAACTTTCACTAACCGCTAATGTTGGGTCCATGTCACTGGTCCGACAGCCCATTGGTCCGACATCCCATTAGTCCGACGGTCCGCTGTGCTGAATGGCTCCCGGCGGGCGTATTTCTGCCTTGATGGTGCGCCGCAACCAGCTCTGGGTCAGCTGGGAAAGGCTTGAGGCGAAGCAGGCTCACAGCTTATGTGTTTGTCACTTTCTTTTTCATTTTAAACCACACCATGATCTTTTCCTAACCCTAATAAAGTGGTTTTTGTGCCTAAACCTAACCAGACCTTAACCACAGGGCACCATGATGACTTCGGAACGGACTTCGGAACAATGGGTTTAATATGGTCGGAACAATGGGATGTCGGACCAATGGGCTGTCGGACCAATGGGCAGTTCCCCTAATGTTTGTCAATCGCTAACGTTATACGCATGTCCAAAACATCAAGCTGGGAGGCAGTTTTAATCAACAGCATCATCTTGTACATATCGTGTCATTGAGTCAGGCAAGCCCCTATTCAGTCAGACGATAGACTTTATGTTTTCACTGAGTCAGGTCAGTCAGACGATAGACTTTATGTATTCCTGACGAGCCCAAGTAGGCCTACTCGCCACTGCCAACCGGTGGCACATGTCTGTTTATGAAATGAGTCTATTCTAAAACTCGGTGAATACACTGCTATTGAGAGCTATTTTATTATTTCATCCACTTTGCTTCAACCGATCACCACCAAAATTTTATCATCTGTTCCTTGTCCCATTATCCACCTTTCCTGAAAATTTCATCAAAATCTGTTCAAAACTTTTTGAGTTATTTTGCAGACAAACAAACAGACAGACAAACAGACCAACGCCAGCGAAAACATAACCTCCTTGGCGGAGGTAATAAAAGAACCAATAACTTCAGCGCTTATCAGTACTATGGTCTTGGGAATTTAGCCCAGGGGCTCATTATACTAGATTTCAGTACCCATTCCTAATGTTGACTGAAGTTACCAACAGTACGCTGATTGTAAGCATAGATCCTCTTGCTGTGTTGTAAGGAAACTATTGGATGCATGACAGTGTTGTGGCATCTTTAGTGGTCTTGCTGAAACATAAAATAATACAATCTGTTGATAGGAGAGTTCAGTGTCTGGGAGGTTTCCTACCCTGAGGTAGCGGTGTGTGCTGACTGATTACTGCTCTGTGGTACAGACATGTTTATATTCGGGGGAGGGTTCATTATGTATTTTGTACTCATTCATTTATTCATGTTTCATAACCACTTATCCTAGTACAGGGTTGCGGGGGGCTAAGTGAGGTACAGCCTGGGCAGGTCACCAGACTGTCACAGGGGCTAACACACAGAGACAGAAACCATTCACGCTCACATTCACACCTACTGACAATTTAGTCACCATTAGCCTAGCCTGCATGTCACTGGATTGTGGGAGGAGACGGAGAACCCACAGAAAACCCACGCTGAAAAAAGGAGAACATCGAACTCCATACAGAAGGGCTCCGGCCGACTGGTGGATTCAAACCGACCAGCGAGCTGGAAAAGAGACAGAAAACCATTCAGGCTCACATTCACACCTGCTGGCAATTTAGAGCCACCATTTACCTAGCCTACATGTCATTGGATTGTAGGAGGAAATGGAGAACCCGGAGAAAACCTACGCTTAAAAGGGGGAACATCAAACTCCATACTGAAGGGCTTTGGCTGGTTGATTCAAAACCAGAACCTTCTTGCTATAAGGCGACATTGCAAACATGGTACCACTGCTGCGTATTTCATACTGTGATTAAATAATGTATTATTACTATATATTGTATGTATAATTTTATGTGTGCTGTCAAGCTTCCCAAAAAGTTACAAACAAGTAACTGGGGGGAAAGCCAGACAGAGGTTTGCTGGATAGCCAGTGATTTATATTCTTTGCGTTTTGTTCGCTTGTCTTGCGTTGTCATGGGGAGTACTTGCATAAGATTAATTATGCTTTTGTTTTGTAGCAAGTGAGCTGCTGCCTTGGTTTTTTGTTTTGCTTCTTTGCTGCTTTTGATTTTATTTGCCCAAACCAGCAACCTTAAGCTCTGAAGGTGTAGCTTGTGAGCTCCTCACCCACTGGGTGTATGTAATTGCAGCCAAAGGCCTGTCATTCACGGGAGAATATCGTTGTTCTTTTGGAAAACATAACAAGTTATTTATCTCGCTAACGTAAATAATACTCATTACATTGAAAAATACATAATTTGTAATAAAATAGTGGTTGTTAATGTTTTGTTAGAGACCCCCACAGATGTATGGTTTTACAGCTTTCATGGGAGCTAATGCCCTCTTTATGGGAGTTCAGCTCCCACTGGCTCCCACATAGTTCGAACCCTGCCCTTCTGGGTTAGGAGAGAGGTACAGCCTAAAACAAATAATGCTCCCGGGGCCAAGAATGATTTTTCTTGAATCTACCTTTATATACAGGTCCATACAGTAGCAATCTCGAACTCTCTGCCTATTGATATAAAATCTACCATGAAAGAAAAAATTACCATTACAATGCTTACAAAGAAATATCTTGCCATAAGATAAGCACACAGCCCTATTTTATGTACTTATTTTTATATCCTCATTCTTCTATAAATGTATCTGTTGGACTTCTGGCTATGTCATGACCAAGAAAGATGCTTGAACACCCAGCTCCACCAGACCCTGAACTAAAGTAGCCTAAAGCAGAGATGTAGTCGACAAATGAACACTAGACTGCATGACAAACTCTTGACTACAATAAGCTTGAGTCAGAAAATGAACAAGAAAGACGCCAAATCAGGAAAACATGACAAAATTAAGGCCGGCACAAAGCAGCTAATGCTAGCTGATCCTATGGGCTCCTGTCATTAAATAATTTAGATTACGGAGTCATAGGGTGCTGTGCTGATTTAATTGTGAATTTGGCCAAAACTTAATTATTATTTCCTGACATAGTAGGAATGTAAAATTCAAATTTAAATAAATGTTTTGTTAAATAAATACATTTATCTGATTAGTGTACTTGTTATATTATCACGTATGTTTGTAGTGTCTTTCCTTTCTGCTGCTTTGTTGAATCATGGTTTAGTCTACAATTACATCTCATTTTATATCATTTGAGTATCAGTTTGGTATTTTGATTATTTTAAGATCTTAATTTGTCTGTACTATTTTATGTTTGTACTTTATTTCAATGTGGAGGACCCCAGGAAGACTAGAGGCATATTCATATGTTTATAATGGGCATCTTTGAATGAACAGTAAACAATTGTTAGCATTAAAAGAGAAAAAGGATTCCAGGAGCACCCTGCAGTTTCCCCACCCTTGTTTAAAACCAGTTGTTTGCTGAGTTGGTCAGTTAATTAGCAAACTTACCTGAGCCTCAGGATATTAGCCAATTTAGAGTGAGAGTTTAAAAAATCGACGAAAAAGTTTTTGAGCATCTAAAAGTCAAGTCAATTTTGTGGTTTCAGAGTTTTAGAGGCTTTTTGTTCTTATGATCATTTTATTTTTCCCACAAAAGACTCCCAAGGACTTCCAAGCATACTGTACACCTGATCAATATTCAACATTAGCAAATAAAAGTGATACAAGTGTTCACTTGATCCTTGATGTCACAGTGTGTCTTTGCATTACATCATTAGCCTTCAGGCATTGTTTGTTATAGACCATCAAACCCTGGAAACTTTTCATTGGATGCTGTACTTATGCTGACAGTATTTATGTAAGTTTTTATGATTTCTTTCAGAAAATGAAGATCCAAATTTTGGTGCTGGCCTTTGCTTTGGTGGCTGTGATCACTGCAGCACCAGCAGCACCAGCCAAAAAGGCTGCTGCAGTAGACCCAGGTAACTAGATGATTTAATGTGATGTCATAGTTGTCATAATATTTCAAGTAGTGTGATATGTGCACCAGATGTCTTATGTATTGATGCAACGCCATAACTCTGCATGCATGTTAGGAAGTCAGTGTCTTGTGCAATTTTTAAAACAATTACAAAACTTGTCAAGTTCTTTACAGACAACACTTTGACTAACTTTCTTTTATTTATGGATGCAATTACTTCTAAAGATGAAAAGGCTCTGGACGATGCTATTGCCAAGAACGGCCCTGCAATAGACAAGGCGCTCAAAGACGTCACTCTCGATGATGCAATGTCCGACTCTGACATTCTGGACCTGATTCTGAGCAACATGAACAATGCTGATGCAGATGAGGTGGCAAGCAACATGACCTCCGCTGACACAGATGACGTGTTGAGCAGCTTGGACGAAGATGATGTGGCCAGCATGATGACCTCCGCTGACGCAGATGAGGTGGCAAGCAACATGACCTCTGCTGACGCAGATGATCTGGTTGCGGCAAGCGACGCTGATGATGACGCAGACTCTGATGATGATGCTGACGTAGCTGTAGCAGCAGACAACGACACTGACGATGACGCAGACTCTGACTCTGACGCAGACTCTGCTGACGCAGACTCTGACGCTGATGCAGACTCTGACGATGACGACGCAGACTCTGACGATGACGCAGACTCCGACGATGACGCAGACTCCAACGATGATGCTGACGCAACCGAAGTGGCTGCAAGTGCTTGATAAGCTAAGAAATCAGAATCCCTCAAAAATCGTTAAAAAAAAAATTGTGTATTTTGTACGATATATATACATGTGTATGTGTTCTATTTCTGCAGCTCTCCAGTAAAACAGGTATCATCTTGATTGCCAGGCTATGTACACTAAAGCCCTCTGAGGTATTGTCTTACAATAATGGGACCGTTGTCCTTCGGGGACAAATAAAATTGACAGGTGACAATGATGTAAAAGCTTGTGACAACATGAAATAAAAGGTTTGTGTCAGTTTCAATATCTGCATTTTTGTGCTTTTTTTCTGTGTCTATGTACCTGTAATATTTATTAATTCATTTCAAACCACTTTTCTGGTGGTGATGAGGTGGCGAATAGCATGACACCTGCTGACACTGATGAGGTGTTGAGCAACACGGATGCAGATGATGTGGCCAGCATGATAACCTCCGCTGACATATATAAGGTGGTGGAGCATGCAGTAGTTGAGCTAAGCTCATAGCTTGGTTAATCAGTCAAGTCGGACTTCTTGTCATGTCTGAGTACATGTGCAGAAGACAAAATCTAATTTCTAACCAAGTACGTCTGACTCCACCTTGATAGGCAGGGCTGTGTCCTTTTTAATATAGTGCGTATTGAATTAGTTCTGGTTCTTACTCAGAAGCTCAAATAAATCTGCGTTTCCTTTTTCCTACCATCCATGAACTTCAAAATGTTTAGCTCCTTCAGCTGTCGGAGCATGAATGTAGTTTACTCATCCGTCCAGAAGTGTGTTTTCTGCTTCTCGGTCGCCATGGTGTGTTTGTTTTTTGTTTTTGTCGGGAGGTACTGCACTGCTGCTTCGTCATCTCCTTCTTTTTCCAAGCTAAGATATTCTCAAGCTGCATGTAAACGTGTAAATGCAGTCTCCGACAACGATGCTGACGTAGCTGAGCTGGCAGACAGCGACTCTGACTCAAGACACTCTGGGGGCCACCAGTGAAAGTATCATAGTTCTGAGTAGTACCACAGAAAAAATGAGGCAGATGTGCCTTTTGTCATTTATAAAAAGACAAATCACTTTTCTATAGGCCTAATACATCAATGATATTTCAATGGAATAAATTACTTGACTTATTCATACTTCAAAAACAGCATCAATAAGTGATTAACATAAGGGGGATCAAAATAAAATAAATAAATAAAATAAAAATCAACCAGCCACCCTCCTCCCCTGACAAGTAAAGAACAGTCCCTTCACAAGTAAAGAACAGTCCCTAAAGCGTGGTGAGGTTTGTGGGCCGTTACTTGCCACAAAGAGAGAAATGTGAACGGCTCGTTTCTCCTCTGACACATCACGTACCTGTGTGCTGCCACGGCTCGCCTGTTCAGGTATTTCTGGGCAGTCATGAAATCAACAAAGAGGAAATTATTGGACCTGGAGCCAGACTTCTCCGTCGCCGGTAAGCCCCTATCTTACGCGGTATTTGACAGGAATACGGCATCTGTGACCCCCATTCAACCCACAACTGGCAGGATTCGCCGTTCGTTTCTGCTGCTGGTTGAAATCTGTACTCACACAGCGTGCTCCTGAATGATTTGTTTTGCTTGCGCAAAACTATTTTTTGTCACAAATGCGAGTAAAATGCTCACACTGTAGAGCTCTGTGGAAAACAAATCACTGTAGCATATATAAACAAATCTAACCACAGTGCCACAGGTGTGGCCAACAATGCTAGAGCGGGTGGCAACCAATCATGCGGGACATGGTCTCAATTTGCGTGACGCGTGAAAAGAGACAGAAATGCTGTGCAGTCCCGCACAATGCGGGATGTCTGGTCACCCTACTTAGCCACTCGCAAGCAGCAGCTAGTAGGGGGCCCCATTAGGGGAGATTCCAATGTGTTGTTGTTGTTGCGTGTGTTGTGTCTTTCGGGGTTCCATCATATTGTCATTGATATGGACCAATGTCAGCCGTCTCTGGGGGCCCCCTTCCAGCTCGGGGCCCTAGGCAATTGCCTAGTTTGCCTGTCTGGTTGCGACGGTCCTGATGCTGACGATGCTGACGTAGCTGTCATGGTGGCGAGTGCTTAATAAGCTAAGAACCAGAATCCCTCACGACATCCTGTCTGTAATTCACAAGTATACAAAATGTCCTCTCTTATTTTTCAGTTACCTAATAGTGAAATGATGCCTACAGACATACCACAAATTGTATTCAAAAAGGACAAAGTTTAGGTCCAAGTAGGAGATTCGTCAGGTCCAAATGCTTGATGTTTTAAGATCCATCCTGGATTGAAACTTGGTCTTGTTGAATAAATTTGTGGCTTGAAGACAGTGTGCAGTGTTTCTTTTCTGCATTTATGTTGTTTGTTTTAACAGCCATGTACAGATATTAATATATACTTTCAACATATTGTACCAAAACAGCCAGAATTATAATTATAGTATTATTACTTTCATTAATGTTGTTGTAAGCTACTGTCATTACCGTCTGTCCTGCATCTCTCTCGCTCTCTCTCTCTCTCTTTCTGTCTCATTGTGACATACGGATTACTGTTAATTTATCATGTTGATCTGTTCTGTACGACATCTATTGCATGTCTGTCCGTCCTGGAAGAGGGATCCCTCCTCAATTGCTCTTCCTGAGGTTTCTACCGTCCCCCCAGAAGAAGCAAACAGAGATGACAAGAAATATAAGTAATAATGATAGCAAAAACACTCTCAGTGATCACCATGTTATGTTCGCTGAAGGTTATTTAATGTTTATTACTCCAGGGACAAGTATATTAAATGGGACCATGATACACACAGAGCCATCTGTAACATATTTATTTAATGTTCTGTTGTCATTATGAGCACTTGTCTGAGCAACATTTATTTATAATACAATGTAAGGTAACATTTAATCTCAAGAGTACATAAGACACAGATTACTGAGTAAGGATCATGTCAGCCTAACTTATGTGCTTCACACATTTACAAGTACAAAAAAATTAAACTGTATATTTTGTATGATATATTAACATGTGTATCTATTCTACCTTAATTGGTATCATCATGACCACCAAACTATGTACAATAAAACCACCTGAGGCATTGTCTTAATGATAATGTGATCACATTTTATTGCACTCTATGGTGTAAAACCAGTTGTCTTTTGGGGACAAATAAAGTTGACAGTTGAAATTGTTGTAAAAGCTTGTGACCACGTGAAATAAAAAGGTTTGTCTCAGTTTCAATATCTGCGTTTTTGTGCATTTTACTGTGTGATGAGGAACTGTGGACAGAGCAGAATGAAATATTGCTGTCTACATGTTTATGCTCGCTGAATATGTATATGTATTAAGTATTATAAGTATGAGTACTTTTTACTTGCAAAGGTTTAATTGCACCTACAGTAATGAATGTAGTTGCCGTCAATGTCACAGCTCAAGTTTCTTTTATTGTGTTTTTATCCATGCATTCATTCATGTCGTTTCCTGTTTTACTTTGAAACTCACATCTCATCTCATTTCAGATCACTTCCTGCCCCTGAGTGTTTTCCCTCCGTTTTGATGGCTTCATCTGTGTCCGGCCCTGATTAGCCTCACCTGTGCCTTATTATCCTTCCCTTCACCACAGTATTTAGTGTGTGTCTTGTTTTCTCTCTGTGCCAGTTCGTCTTAGCTACTTGTGTGTCTAATGTTCCAGCCCTTTGTTTCCCTGTGCCTCTTTTCTTGTTTTTTTTTTACTTAGCCTGTTTTTTGACTCTACCTCTGCCTTGTCCCTTTGGATTTGTTTGCCTCTACTGATCGTCCTGTGTATACCAAACCTATCTTCCGACCAGTAAAGACTCATTTACTTACCTGAACTGCCTCGAGTCGTGCGTTTGAGTCCATTCTCTCCTGGTTCACCAGTTTTAACAGTACGAACTGGCACCAAACCATGGACTCAGCCAACTCTAATCCTGTGCATGCTGCCATTCGTGCTCCAAGAGAACAGATCCACCATCACAAGGAGCAGCTCACTGCAGTGAATAAAGGTGTAAGAGAACTTAAAGAGCACCATGAGGATTTCCAGGCCTCCATAAGCAGTCACGTGAGCCACCTGAGCAACCAGCTTCAACACCCAGTGAGCCACATTGAGTTTCTCATCCCTTCTTCTCCTGTTCCTATGCCTGCCACTGCCTCAGCTCCTGTATCTGCTCCACAACCGCTTCCTCCACTAGCTCTGGCCCCCGCTCCTGCTTTTTCCCCTCACCTAGCCAAGCCTGAGTGTTTCTCTGGAGGCTCTGGTAACTGCCGATCCTTCCTGGTCCAGTGTGGGCTTCATTTTGAGCTGCAGGGATCCTCATTTACCTCTGAGCGCTCCAAGGTGGCATTTACCATCACTTACATTTCTGGCACAGCTGAAGCCTGGGCCACAGCATAATGGGCTAGAGATTCCCTGTTTGCAACTCCTTGAGCCTGTTCACTTAAATGCTGAGCAAGATTTTTGACCACACCACCCCTGGTCGAGAGGCTGCACAAGTACTGGTGGGTCTTCACCAAGGCAAGCGACGAGTCGCGAACTGCGCCATTAAGTTTCGCACCCTGATAGCGGAAAGTGGCTGGAATGCTGCCTCCCTGCTTGATACCTTCCTCCATGGGTTGGCTGACCTGATAAGATTGAGATTGGACCCCCTTGAGTTACCAGGTGATTTGGAGTCCGTAATAACACTTGCTATCCGTATTAACACCCCTGCTGCACTGGAGGAGCCCATGCGGGTTGGAAGAGCCAGACTCACTCCAGAGGAACGCGAGCGCTGTCTGCAGGAGGGCTGCTGCATCTACTGTTCTCAGCTGGGTCATTTCCTGTCTTCATGCCCATTAAAAGACAAGGATCGCCAGTGTGGAAGAGGGTGCTGGTGAGCCGAACAACTTCCTCTAAATGTTCCTCCCGACCTCTCAGGCCCAGCTCATCACCCCTTCTCCGTCTCTCCCTCATCCAGTGCTGGTGGATTCTGTGGATGAGAGTTTTATGGACTGGAGATTACAAAGAAACTCGTAAGCAACAGCACTCACAAAAGACTACAGTCAAAATCTATGTTTTAATAGGGCAACACACGGCCAAGCAAAATGACAGATGCGTTTTGGCCTAAGTCTTCTTCAGTGTATCAAAGACACTGAATGCTATATATACATAGGTAAAATTTTAGCACTAGTCACAGTGCAAGGTGTAATGAGAGGCAATAGAAACCATATGTGTAGCAGCTGCAGCCAATGACAAGCTGACACAAGACAACTGATTTCTTGGTAGTTCTCACAAAACTTGTTCTTACCAAAAATTATTTTAAATTTGAGGACTCTTTCTACCTGCAGTGTCGGGGTGTCAGTATGGGGAGTTCATGTTCTCCCAGCTATGCCAATTTATTCATGGGCAAATTTGAGGATGACTATGTCTACAGGTGCAACCCTTATTTTTCTCTGGTGAAATGCTGGTTCAGATTAATAGATGATATTCTTTGCATATTTTCAGGGACGATGGAGGAGTTAACAGCCTTTCACACATACCTCAATTCTTGTATGCCAACCATAAAATTCACACTTGAATATAGTCAAGATTCTGTTTCTTTTCTCGATGTTCTTGTGGAAAAAACAGATCCTCTCAGCGCCAGTGTTTTCAGAAAACCTACAGATACTCTTTTACATTATACTAGTTATCATCTTCCAGGTTTGAAGAAAAGTGCTGCTGAGAGCAAAGAGAATCTGCAGCTCTGATAATACTTTTAATGAACAAGCTCATGAGATATGTGATCATTTCAACGGTAGGGGTTATTCATGATTCAGTATACACATATATATACATATATATATATATATATATANTATATACACACTGAAGAAGCTTAGGCTGAAACGCGTCTGTCATTTTGCTTGGCCGTGTGTTGCCCTATTAAAACATAGATTTTGACTGTAGTCTTTTGTGAGTGCTGTTGCCTACTAGTTTCTTTGGGATCTCTCTGCAACTTGCACCCATCATGATTGGAAATATTGGAGTTGTGCATCCTCCTTCCTTCAGATGGACTAGAGATTAGCCAAGAGACTCTGGCTCAAGAAAGTTCCCCTCCCCAAGCCTTTGGAAGCCAGCGCTCTGGATGGTCACCTCTTGCACAGAGTCTTGTTAGTGTTTACTAACCTGCTGCTCTTCTGTTCCTCCTCCTGAGTTTCGGATGCTCCAGTTCCACCATCCCCTGAGGTTTCAGGGTCAACAGAGGTTCCTGAGCCTTCTCCTACTTCTACATCTGTTGATTCTGAGTTCTCGGACTTGTCCTGTGTTCCCTCCTGTTACCTTGACCTCAAGGAAGTTTTCAACAAGGCTCGTGCCACCTCCCTGCCTCCACACCAGACTTATGACTGCTGCATAGACCTTCTCCCTGGTACATCACCTCCCAAAGGTGGTTGTACTCTCTCTCTGTCCCTGAGAGGGAGGCCACGCAGAAGTACATCGACTCTTCCCTTGCTGCTGGGATCATCAGACCATCTTCATCTCCAGCATCTCCAGCGGGGCAGGCTTTTTCTTAGTGGAGAAGAAAGACAAGACTCTTCGTCCCTGTATCGCCTACAGAGGTTTGAATTACATCACAATTAAGAACAAGTACCCTCTCCCTCTCATTTCCTCTGCCTTTGAACTGTTGAAAGATGCTAAGATCTTCACCAAATTGGATCTTAGAAATGCTTATCACGTGGTGAGGTTAAGGAGGGGGACACGTGGAGAACAGCATTTAACACTGCCAGTGGTACCTTGTTATACCCTTTGGTCTCACAAATGCTCCAGCTGTCTTCCAAGCCTTAGTTAATGATGTCCTTTGGGACATGCTCAACCAGTTTTTGTCTAGTTGGATGACATTCTCATCTTCTCCCCGGATGAGCAGACCCACATTCAGCATGTTGGCCAGGTCCTGCAGCATCTCCTCGATCATCAACTCTTCGTCAAAGCAGAGAAATGTGAGTTTCATGTTCCCACAGTCTCCTTCCTCGGTTTTGTTGTCTCTGCTAACAACATTCAGATGGACCCCATTAAGCTGGCTCTGAGGTTCGTGGGTCCCTTTTCTGTTTCCAAGATGGTTAATCCTTTGGCAGTGCGTCTTCAGCTTCCCAGGTCCATGAGGATCCACCCAACATTCCATGTGGCCCGCCTTAAACCTGCTAAGGAGAGTTCTTTGATCCCTGCCTCCAGACCCCCACCACCCCCGGGTTCATCAACGGCGGGCCTGTGTACACCATCGAGTGTCCTGGCAGTTCGTCGCTGTGGCCTTGGTGTTTTCTTTTGTTTCTTTGCTGCTTTTGATTTTATTTGTCCAAACCAGCAACCTTAAGCTCCTAAGGTGTAGCTTGCTCCACCCAGCTCCAAAAGCGGGGAGTTGGAGATGCTAGCAGAGTTGAGGACAGTCTGACAGGAGAATAGTGACTCTTTGCGGGACACGAAATTGTCCCTCAACAGGCTGGAAACATCTGTGGGTGAGATGAAGAAGAAAGTGGAGAAGCTGGATGAAAGAGTAAGCGCTGCAGAAAATAGAGTGAGTGCCACAAAAGACAGGAGTATACGCCAAGAGAGAGCTATTAAGCGTTTAAGAGCTTATTAATTTTTTTGAGACTCTTTATGTGGATTTAAGTTGCAATAATTTGTAATTTGTATGTTTGTTTGCCTATCTGTGAAGTTTTTTTTTTTAAATTATTATTATTTCCTGAAATAGTAACAATGTAAAGTTCAAATTTGAATAAATGTTTTGTTAAGTAAATACATTTATACCATGGAAGAGCTAAAACAAACAATTAAAACTTTAAAAGGAGGCAAAACCCCAGGACCTGATGGTCTCCCTTGTGAGCTGTACAAAACATTTACGGACATACTTAGACCTTATATGCTTAAAATGTACTCTCAAGCCCTCGAAAATGGGTCTCTGCCTCAAACATTGAGTGAGACTCGCTGTCATAACACTCATTCCAAAACAGGGTAAGGACCCAGAGGAGGTTGGAGGATACAGACCTATTTCTTTACTCAGTGTGGACCAGAAAATATTAGGTAAAGTTTTGGCAAACAGACTTAACAGATATATGAGTACGTTGGTTCACTCGGACCAGACCGGGTTTGTCCCTGGCAGAAACTCCTTCTCCAACCTCAGACGCCTTTTTAATATAATGTACCATACTAAGTACCAGCTGTATCAGTATCAGCGACCTCGTTATTGGCGCTCTAGACGCCGAGAAAGCGTTTGACCAGGTAGAATGGTCTTATTTATTCGCTGTGCTGGACAAATTTAATTTAGGAGACAAATTTATCGCCTGGATCAAACTTTACCTAACAGAATGCTATCCTCCCACTTCAGCCTGTATAGGGGCACGAGACAGGGGTGTCCCCTCTCACCCCTCCTGTTCGCGCTGGCCATCGAGCCCCTCATGGAGTCTATTTGCACTGATCCAAATATCTATGCCTCCAATGTTACATACACACCTGATAAGATTTCCCTATATGCAGATGACGTTCTCCTGTTTATTACCAAGCCTCAATTAAGTCTTCCCACTGTTTTGGATAAAATTAACTTGTTTGGATCCTTCTCTGGTTACAGGATTAACTGGACCAAGAGTGAGTTAATGTCTGTTGGCCTGATACAACATTTACCATTTAAGATTTCGTCTTAGACATTCACCTATCTTGGGATTCAAATCACTAAAGAATTTCCCTCTCTTTTTCAAGCCAACTACCTACCCCCCTCTTGTGGCCAAACTCCGAGCTAATCAATCAATTTTGGAGATCACTCCCTATATCACTGATTGGCAGGATTAACACCATTAAAATGATATTTCTCCCCCAGTTGCTGTACCTTTTCCAATGCCTCCCCTTGTTTTTGCCCAAATCATTCTTTAAGAAATTAGATTCTATTATCTTCTCTTTTATTGGGGACTATAAAAGTCACAGAATTAAAAAAGCTCACCTCTGCAAACCAAAACGAGATGGTGGGCTTGCTCTCCCCGATTTCTGTCTCTACTATTGGGCCTCTAATATAAACATTATTTCGAGGTGGGTGGATAATTCAGCTGACCCCCCTCGCTGGCTGCAATTGGAGCTGGTGCAATGCTGCCCATATAGTCTGTGTGCATTGATCTTGTCTCCAGTGGCTTTAGATAAATCTATCTACAGTGGAAGTGTCTCTATACATAGTATGATCAGAATTTGGATGCAAATTAAGACGCATTTCGGGATCAGTCAGCCCTCCTTCCTACTCCCCATTGCTTGGAACCCTTCATTCCCGCCATCCCAACTTGATAATGTATTCTTACAATGGAGGGATTTGGGTATTCTTACAATTGGTGACCTTTACCTGAACGGAACCTTTGCCTCATTTTCTCAGTTGCGAGAAAATTATAAACTCCCTTGGAGTATTCATTTCAGGTTTATGCAAATTAGAGACTATGTGCGCACCTACTTTTCTTCTTATATAAGTGCCTCACCCTCGCTTCTAGATAGGTGCCTTCTTCAAAACGCAGGTCCTGATAGAAAGGTGTCACACTTTTATAACTCACTACAATCTGTCAAACCCCCCTCTATGTCAGCAAATAAAACTGCATGGGAAGATGAGCTGGGGATGCAGATCTCTGAAGGAGTCTGGGAAGAGAGCCTTGAACAGATCAATACTTGCTCTATCAACTCTAGGCACTGCCTCATTCAGTTTCGGGTTCTCCACAAACTCCATTACACAAAATTAAAGCTTCACAGGCTGTTTTCAGACAGCTCCCCACAATGTGATCAATGTAACATAGCTGAAGCAAACCATGTCCATAGTTTCATTTCCTGTCCCAAGTTAGAGAAATTCTGGGCAAAATTTTTTAAAGCTTTCTCTGACATTTTTAATACCCACATTGAATCTGATCCTGTCTTTATTATATTGGGAACTACAGATTCTATACCAGTATTTAAAAAATCACAACAGCAACTTCTTTCCTATGGTCTGATTACAGCCAAAAAAATTAATACTGACTTTCTGGAACAAAAAAGAAGTTCCCACTATTAAGCTGTGGCTCAGTGAAATGACAAATACCCTTCACCTTGAAACAATAAGGTTTTCTTTGAATAAAAGAGAGTCACAGTTTGACAAGATTTGGCTGCCCCTCGTCCATTACCTAACAAACAACCCAGAGTGGATACTCCATATAGCCGACTGTCCAACATTATTTTTCACCTTTTTGTCTTTTAATAAAAGATTATTTTCCATTGGTACCTGTATTCAATTTCAATCAATCAATCAATCAATTTTATTTATAAAGCCCAATATCACAAATCACAATTTGCCTCACAGGCCTTTACAGCATACGACATCCCTCTGTCTTTAAGTAAGTAAGTAAGTAAGTAAATTTTATTTATATAGGACCTCAGGACCCTCACAGTGGATAAGGAAAAACTCCCAAAAAAAAAAAAAACCTTTAATGGGGGAAAAAACGGTAGAAACCTCAGGAAGAGCAACTGAGGAGGGATCCGTCTTCCAGGATGGACAGACGTGCAATAGATGTTGTACAGAACAGATCAGCATAATATCAGCATTGTATTATCATATACTACATGCTGAGCAGAAGAGAGGGAGGGAGGGTGGGTGTGATTAGGGGGTTTTCTTTTCTATCCTGATGTGTATGTGTTTTTATGTTGGATATTATGTTGTATTTTGTTTTGTTCTCCATTAATGAAAATGTACACTGCGTTTATGTCCTACATCCTGAAATCTCTCTTTTTTTTTCAATAAAATATATTTGATAAAAAAAGTAAATACATTTACCTGATTAGTGTGCTTGTTTTATTATCACTTTTGTTTGTAGTGTTTTTCCTTTCTGCTGCTTTGTTGAATTATGGTTTAGTCTACAATTACATCTCATTTTCTTCCATTTGAGTATCAGTTTGGTATTTTGATTGTTTTTAGATCTTTATTTGTCTGTACTCCTATTTTATGTTTGTACTTTATTTCAATGTGGAGGACCCCAGGAAGACTAGAGGCACATTCATATGTTTATAATGGGGATCTTTGAATGAACAGTAAACAATTGTTAACATTAAAATAATAAAATGATTCCAGGAGCACCCTGCAGTTTCCCCACCCTTGTTTAAAACCAGCTGTTTGCTGAGTTGGTCAGTTAATTAGCAAACTTACCTGAGCCTCAGGATATTAGCCAAATTAGATTGACCGTTTAAAGAAACAACAAAAAAGTTTTTGAGCATCTAAAAGTCAGGTCACTTTTGTGGTTTCACAGTTTCAGAGGCTCTTTGTTCTTATGATCAGATTATTTTTCCTGAAAAAGACTTTCCAGACTTATTTAATTATTGTGTGATTTGAAATGTGCCATACTCATTTTTTATATAGTTGAGAATATATCAGGGAAATATGAATACAGTAATGCTTTGTGTCATTGTAAGTTAACTATGTTTAGAAATAAACAAATATCAAAACCACAGCTGTACAAATAACTCCCAATTATTTCACTGAGCAACTTCTAAACATACTGTACACCTGATCAGTATCTAACATTAGCAAATAAAAGTGATACAAGCGTTCACTTGATCCTTGATGTCACAGTGTCTCTTTGCATTACATCATTAGCCTTCGGGCATTGTTTGTCAAAGACCATCAAACCCTGGAAACTTTTCATTGGATGCTGTACTTACTGTAAACAAACATACTTTGGTCAAAGGGGTATAAATTTGAGGTGCATTGGTCAGACAGTCAGAATACTCCTGTTTCGAGTTGAAGTCATTTGGACCTGAGAGCAACTGCAAACTGAAGGTGAGTCCAGTACTTTTATTTCACTCTGTTCACAAACCCAACAGAGTCAGTTACTTAAATGCTCACAGTCCGTTTGATAGTATTTATGTAAGTTTTTATGATTTTTTTCAGAAAATGAAGATCCAAATTTTGGTGCTGGCCTTTGCTTTGGTGGCTGTGATCACTGCAGCACCAGCAGCACCAGCCAAAAAGGCTGCTTCAGTAGACCCAGGTAACTAGATGAACTAATGTAATGTGATAGTTGTCATAATAGTTGAAGTAGTGTGATATGTGCACCAGATGTCTTATGTATTGATGCAATGCCATAACTCTGTATGTATGTTAGGAAGTCAGTGTCTTGTGCATTTTTTAAAACAATTACAGAACTTGCCAAGTTCTTTACAGACAACAGTTTGACTAACTGTCTTTTATTTATGGATGCAATTTCTTCTAAAGATGAAAAGGCTCTGGACGATGCTATTGCCAAGAACAGCCCTGCAATAGACAAGGCGCTCAAAGACGTCACTGACGACGATGCGATGTTGAGCAGCTTGGACAAAGATGATGTGGCCAGCATGATGACCTCCGCTGATGCAGATGAGGTGGCAAGCAACATGACCTCCGCTGACGCAGATGATCTGGCGGCGGCCAGTGACACTGATGATGATGGAGACTCTGACGAGGAAGCTGACGTAGCTGTGGCAGTGGCCAGTGACTCTGACGATGATGCAGACTCCGACGAGGATGCTGACGTAGCTGTAGCAGCAGACAGCGACGATGATGCAGACTCCGACGATGATGCCGACGTAGCTGCAGCAGCAGACAGCGACTCTGACGATGATGCAGACTCCGACGACGATGCTGATGTAGCTGCAGCAGCAGACAGCGACTCTGACGATGATGCAGACTCCGACGATGATGCCGACGTAGCTGGAGCAGCAGACAGCGACTCTGACAATGACTCTGACGATGACTCAGACTCCGACGATGATGCCGACGTAGCTGCAGCAGCAGACAGCGACTCTGACAATGACGCAGACTCCGACGATGACGTTGATGTAGCTGAGCTAGGAGACAGTGACGCTGATGATGACGCAGACTCCGTTGACGATGCCGATGTAGCTGAGGTGGCCGCAAGTGCTTAATAAGCTAAGACGTGAGATCCCTCAAAAATTGTTTAAAAATTTTTATTTTTTGTATATATACATGTGTACGTGTTCTATCTCTGCAGCTCTCCAACTTCACACCTGATCTACAGGTACCACTGTCTTACAATAATGGTATTACATTTTGTTGCACTGTGTGTGTTAAACCAGTTGTCCTTCGGGGACAGATAAAGTTGACAGGTGATGTTGATGTAAAAGCTTGTAAAATAAAATAAAAAGGTTTGTCTCAGTTTTCAATATCTGAATTTTTGTACTTTTTTTCTGTGTGTGTGTGGTTGTGTGTGTGTGTGTACCTGTAAAATTAATTAATTAATTTCAAAACTCCTATTTCTGTATCTTTACTGTATTTTGAATCCAAAAAAAAATGCTGAAATCAAACCATGGGCTCATTTATGCTCAACCTTAGCCACAATTGGGAAGACACAGGGAGCCTTCTGTCTGTACTCTGTGTACATTTCCCGTGGGTTTATGGATACAGATAGAACAGAGCAGTGCCACCGAAGATCTTGGAGGCAGTGTGGTGTAGTTCAAGCGAGACATGACTGTAGCAGACAACAAAAAATTTTAATGAAAGTGGAACAGAATGAATTGGTAATATAGTAAAAAGTAAAAAGGGCAGGACATTAACATTTGAAATGGATGTATCTATTTTTGTATACGAAAGGAGTAAAAATGAGCCTGTAGGAACCAAATATGCTGGGTCTGGCGCTGGAGTGAAAAAACATACTCATAGTCATATATTACCTAAAAACTTTCTGAAGGTGATTTAATGTTGGTGATATGGATGCAGGTTTCAGGTAAAATAAACCTCATGGATCATGAAGCAGAGCTGCAAGTTGCTTCTGTTTTTGTAATTTTTCATTCCGAAATATTTTTAAGACATGGTCTGCATTTGCATTAACTTTATCAAGGCAAACAGGAGCGGAAACTGAGGTTAAGGATAAAAAGTGAAAATACAGAGGGAGTAACAAATAATGGTCCGTTTATAATGTCACTTGTTTCCAATAAAGCTGGTAGCCTCTGCAGTTGAGGTGAGTAAAAGCCCCGCCAATATTTTTAAATTTTCTTACTTTATGTCCGTCTCCACTATGAAGAAATAATATTGTTTGCTAACTTGATACTAATGGCAGTACTCACCAGGTTGATAAAGTGCCTCTGCTGTTTCACACCATTATTTTTCCCTTTTTGCTGTGTTGTGGTAATGTCCCAAGAGGAAATATCAAAAACCCTGGGGTGTTGTTGCCATATAGTTGTCTACAGCAGCAGATCACTCTGTGCTTCTATTGGTCAAAGTGACGACTGTGACTGGGGCAGTCGTGAACAACAAAAAGAAAATCAAACATGCTCCATTCCGACACCACACGTCGCTGCGTCAGGCTAGAATCTGGCTGATATTGTGTAGTGTGTACCTGGTATTATGTACTCGGAACACCTCCAACAAGAGATGCCTGAACAACCTCAAATGGCCCCTTTCGATGTAAAGGAGCAGCAGCTCTACTTCAAGCTCCCTCCAGATGTCTGAGCTCCTCACCCTCATCATTTCTAGATTGAAGGAATTAAAAAATCGCTATGTGAAGAAGTAGAGGTGTAATTTCATCTGGAGTATAGCATGACCCTACACAGACTCTCTCTGTGTTGATCTCCAGCCCCTTGTTTACAAGCCGGTCCGGCTGCGCGTTCATGCAAAACACCCCCCCGCCCCCTCGGAGCCTTTGGCCCTCCCTCCCTATAAAACGCTACAGCCAGTGAGCAATGGCAGTGCGTATTTTTAATTAGTGTTACAGTAACGTTAGGCACATGTCGCTATGCCGATTCAATTAAATTTAATGTTACAATCAGGGAAGAAGCAGCGGGTATATCAGGCAGCTGAGTGAAGCTGAGTGAAGTGGAGCCTGCGGAACAAACACCAGGACCGTCTGGATGTAATAGTCCGTGGAGAGGCTGCAGTGCTGGGCTGCACAGACGAGGCGAGTGGGGTGGGGGTGGGGGGGTGGAGAGCAGAGGTAGAGGGAGGCGTGGCTCATGACACACTTTGTTTTGGTCTACAGGCAGTGCACAACAGCAAACCTAGCAGTGAAACGATTTTGCTTTTTGCTCCTTTAAGGATGAGCCCAACCACCCCGTGGAGGAAGCCGCTTGTGTCTGCCATCTCATTCCTTTGGTCACCATTCAAAGCTCATGACCATAGGTGTTGGTTGGGATGTAGATGGACCAGTAAATCAAAAGCTTTGCTTCCTGGCTCAGCTCCCTCTTTACCACAATGGTCTGGCGCAGAGCCTGCATCACTGCTGATGCCATGCCTAGCCATCTCACGCTTCACTTTACCCTCACTCATGAAAAATACCCCATACTCCCCAGCCTAGAGGGGTCAATCTACCATTTTCAAGTAGAGAACAATGGCCTCAGACTTGGAGGCATAAGGTTTTTTTTTTTTTTTTTTGCACCACAAATAAACGCATCAAGGTTTTGCAGAGCTGTTGATCGTGTGAATCGTTTGAAAAAACTATATTCTTACAGACTGTTATATGGCATCTTTAAGTATGTCTGGAACAGGACATGGTAGAGCTTTAGCTTGTGTATAAGGCAGTGGAACTCTCCTTCTCTTTTTCTATCTTGTAAAATGGGATGTACCCAAAATCTCTCCCTTCGCCAAATGAAGAGCAGGACAAGGTCATAACTACCGGATGGATCCATCATTCTTTTACTGAAGAATAAGCTGGCACAAATCTTTTTAAACATTTATGAAAAAAAAAAAGTGCAACTCACAAATTTGCACCACTGCCAGTACGAATAGTTTCAATACCAAATATTTACCGGCAAGTATTTCACAATTTTGTGAATTTTGTTTGTTAAGCCCCACACTCCTTAGTTATTGTTGCTATGCCTGTGTCTGTGGTTGCACAGCACTTATACAGTTTACAGTAACAACAGTGGCAGATTTACTGTCAAAATTCAGAGAAATTTTTGAAACAATAAGTTTGATTTCAGAGAGGTATTGTTGGCAGACTTTTTAAGCTGTAGCTATCTAGCCAGATAACACTGTCACAAACAGACTTTAAAATTATCTAAGCTGACTCCTTTTAAAACTTGAAGCCTGTAAGGGGGGCCCTATATCTTAACTTACAGCAATATACATTATGCTAATAAACTGCTGCATGTAAATACAGAGACAGCGTTGTTGGTGTATTGCAGTATAGAACCAGTTAGTGCTAGTCCTATACTTGTGATAGGGAATGTAATTTAAGATCCAACTGTTTACACACTGACAAAAACATGTTTGGCAGCTTTGCTTAGTCAAATATTCAACTAATATGTGGGTTTGTATTGTCAAACAGTCTGTTCTCACTTTCAATGTAACAAGAGAAAAGGCTTTTGGGATGAGAACTGACTGATGTATTCAGCGAACAAAATTCTATATCACCTAGCACTAGTTGTTAAATTTAAATATAGGTACCTAAATAGCATCACTTGTAGCCCTTAAAAAAAGCCAGTATGTACAGATTAAAGTAAGATGTGACCATCTTCATGGCAATGACTAAAACTGATTCTGTGATATAAATTTTCTAAAGTAAATAACTTACATTTCAGAGATGTTTGGCAGTACCATTTGGGTTAATTTCATTTTTTTTTGTGTATTCAAAATACAGTAAAGATAAAGAAGAACTTGTTTCGAAATAAATTAAAAGTACTCAGGGTACACACACAGAGTAAAAAGCACGAAAAATGCTGATACTGAAATTGAGACAAACCTTTTTATTTCAAGTTGTCACAAGCTTTTACAACAACTTCAACTGTCAACTTAATTTGTCCCCAAAAGACAACTGGTTTTACACCATACAATGCAATAAAATGTGATCCCATTATTGTAAGACAATGCCTCAGGTGGTTTTATTGTACATAGTTTGGCAATCAAGATGATAGCCATTTTGCTGTAGATCAGGCGTTAAACTGGAGAGCTGCGGAGGTAGAACAGATAGAGATACACATGAATATACAGCATACAAAAAATAAGATTTTTTTTTTTGTCCCTGTGAATATGTGAAGCACTTAAGTTCGGCTGACATAATCCTCACTAATGATCTGTGTATATTTTTCTCTTGAGATTAAATGTTACCTTACAAACAAATGTTGCTCAGCCAAGTGCTCATAATGACAACAGAACATTTAATAAATATGTCACAGATGGCTCTGCGTGTATCATTTTGTGTGGTCCCATTGAATATATTTGTCCCTGGAGTATTACACATTAAATAACTAAATAACCTTCAGAGGACAAGACATGGTGATCACTGAGAGAGTTTTTGCTATCATTGTTACTTATATTTCTTGCTATCTCTGTTTGCTCCTTTTGACAGATAAATTGTTTTACGATATAAGTGTTGTAATCATACGCACATAAGAAGTGTCTGTAGGCGTCAGTCATTTCACAAATAAATTAACTGAAAAATAAGAGAGGACATTTTGTATACTTGTGACTTACAGGCAGGATGTCGTGAGGGATTCTGACTTCACAGCTTATTAAGCACTTGCCGCTGCATCAGCTGCGTCAGCATCATCAGCATTGTCGCTTGAGTCTGAGTCATCGTCGCTGGCTGCCGCCGCATCGTCATCAGAGTCATCATCAGTGTTATCATCAGAGTCGCTGGCTGCCGCTGCAGCTGCGTCAGCATCGTCGTCAGAGTCATCATCAGAGTCGTCATCAGAGTCGCTGGCTGCCGCTGCACCTGCGTCAGCATCGTCGTCAGCATCGTCATCAGAGTCATCATCAGAGTCATCATCAGCGTCGCTAGCCGCTGCCACATCATCTACATCAGCGGAGGTCATGTTGCTTGCCACCTCATCTGCGTCAGCGGAGGTCATCATGCTGGCCACATCATCTTCGTCCAAGCTGCTCAACACGTCATCTGTGTCAGCAGAGGTCATGTTGCTTGCCACCTCATCTGCGTCAGCGGAGGTCATCATGCTGGCCACATCATCTTTGTCCAAGCTGCTCAACACGTCATCTGTGTCAGCGGAGGTCATGTTGCTTGCCACCTCATCTGCATCAGCGTCGTTCATGTTGCTCACAGCCAGGTCCTGAATGTCAGAGTCGGACATCGCATCGTCGACAGTGACGTCTTTGAGCTCCTTGTCTATTGCAGGGCCGTTCTTGGCAATAGCATCGTCAAGAGCCTTTTCATCTTTAGAAGAAATAGCATCCATAAATAAAAGACAGTTAGTCAAACTGTTGTCTGTAAAGAACTTGACAAGTTCTGTAATTGTTTTAAAAATTGCACAAGACACTGACTGACTTCCTAACATACATACAGAGTTATGGCATTGCATCAATACATTAGACATCTGGTGCACATATCACACTACTTCAACTATTATGACAACTATCACATTACATTAGTTCATCTAGTTACCTGGGTCTACTGCAGCAGCCTTTTTGGCTGGTGCTGCTGGTGCTGCAGTGATCACAGCCACCAAAGCAAAGGCCAGCACCAAAATTTGGATCTTCATTTTCTGAAAGAAATCATAAAAACTTACATAAATACTATCAAACGGACTGTGAGCATTTAAGTAACTGACTCTGTTGGGTTTGTGAATGGAGTGTAATAAATGTACTGGACTCACCTTCAGTTTGCAGTTGCTCTCAGGTCCAAATGACTTCAACACGAAACAGGAGTATTCTGACTGTCTGACTGATGCACCTCAAATTTATATCCTTTTGACTGAAGTATGTTTGTTTACAGTAAGTACAGCATCCAATGAAATGTTTCCAGGGTTTGCTAGTCTATGACAAACAATGCCAGAAGGTTTATGATGTAATGCAAAGACACTTCAAGTCAATCAAGGATCAAGTGAACGCTTGTATCACTTTTATTCTTTAATGTTAAATACTGATCAGGTGTACAGTATGTTTGGAAGTCGCTCAGTGAAATAATTGGGAGCCTCCTGGCATTGATTGTCAAGCTGTGGTTTTAGTATTTGCTTATTTTTCGTGCATATAATGATTTCATATAATGGTTTCTCAGCGTAGCAGTATGGAGTCTTTTAGAAAGCTTATTGTATTCATATTTGCCTGATGTATTGTATTATATGTATGTATTCTTAACTATTAAAAAGGGAGTATGCAACATTTGAAATCACACAATAATTGAACACGTCTGGGGTCATGAGAATTTTTTGGGAAAAAATAATCTGATTATAAGAAAGAAGACGCTCCAGCTTTTAGTCAAGCTAATGTTCTGTTATACTACAACATTCCTTACAACCACAGAAGTGTCCCAGAGTTAAAATGCTCAAAAACTTGTTTTGCAAATATTTGCTTTTTAACTCTCACTCTAATTTGGCTAATATCCCGCAGCTTAGGTACGTTTGCTGATTTACTGACCAACTCTGCAAACAACTGGTTTCAAATGAGGGTGGGGAGGCTGCAGTGTGCTCCCGGAATCATGTCTTACTTTGAGATTGCTAACAGTTATTAAAAACTCAATAAAAAAACTTTCTTTTTTAAAAAAAGTGATTAATTATATCAACACAATTAATTTTATTGATCTGACTGAAACAAAGTGTTCAACACACTAAAGGATTTTACACAAGAAGGGCGTTTTTTATGTGTGTGTGTGAGTGAGTAATTTATTTATTTTTATTGTAATTAATTTGCATGTCAATTCATTTTTTCAAACTTGTTTTTTCACAAGTATTTTCACAGAGAATGTGAATATTACGTGGTGAAAAGGCAATGTAATTTCCTCCTGGAGGATCCTGCAGTGTTCCCCAGCCAGATGAGATAAATAAACCCTCCAGTGTGTTCTGGGTCCTGCTACCAGTCTTACGTACCCAGAACACCTCTAACGGGAGACTCCCGATCAGATGCCTGATATAACCTCAACTGGCCTCTGTCAATTTGAAGGTGTCTGAGGAGGAGGACAAGCATAAGTGGAGCGATGGTGAACAGCGGGGGTCAATCGAAGACTTGTGATTGACGGTCATTGCATTCTGCCACACAGCGTGCAGAGTTGATGCAAAACACAACTTTGGTCAATCAACTGACATTTCTTAGTGATATGAGGCTGTAGCAAAGTAGACTTATTTCAGCAGCCTAACCTCATTTCGTCAACCTCATTCACCCTGTGACCTCATCATCACAGAACCCCCACCCCCCTCCATTTCAAAAACTCATCTGATCTACACACATCACACAGATGACCTATTTTAGATTCAAAACGGTGATTTTCGCCAAAAAGTGACAAGTTTGCACCGCTGGGACATGGTAGAGCTTAAGCTCTTGTATGAAGCAGTTGAACTCTCCTTCTGTATCACTACCTTGTAAAATGGGATGTCATTAAAATCTGTCATTAAAAAATTGTGCAACTGACCCAAATTTGCATCGCTGCCAGTATGAATAGTTCTGATGCCAAATGTTTGCAGGCAAGTATTTTAAATTTTCCTGTCATTTGTTCATCACTACTGTGGTATTTAGCCTTTGTTCCTGAAAGTTTGCTAAGCCCCACCCTCTTTAGTCCTTGTCGCTGTGTAGAACCACTTAGTGCGAGTCCTATATTTATGATAGGAAAAGAAATTTAACATCCAACTGATCGCACACTGACAAAAACATGTTTGGCCGCTTTACTTAGACAAGTATCCAACTGCCAGTATGTGTGTTGGTATTGACAAACAGTATGTTCTCACTTTTAATGAACACAAGAAAAGGCTTTTGGGATAGGAACTCACTGATGTGTTTGGCAAACATAACTCTATGTCAGCTGGCATTGGTTGTAAAATTTAAACATAGGTACCTTGATAGCATCCCTTGTAGTCCTTAAAATAGCTGGTATGTACAGATTTAAAGGGTAACAAAGGCCTTTTTTAACTTAGTCTCTATTTTCCCATGTATGTGTCTAGGTGACTGACTAAAAACAGTTTTTGACACTTGTCCAGTATTGAACCAGACGGCAGCAGCCGGGCAGTCGCACAATGGCCACAATGGAAGCATATGGGGCAACTAAACACCGTCATTGTTTGTCCATGAAAAGCGGATATTTTAACCACAGAGTGGCTGAGATTGTTATAAGTGTCTGAAGTGTCTGTCTATGCAGTTAAGTTGTATCTAAAAGATTTTCAGTGTCACAGATAATTATTGACTTTATTTGGATGACCTTGATGAAGGCCACATTGGTCTTGCAAATAAAGGTGTTCTTAATACTACATATGTTGCTGGAGTCTCTACATCTTTTATTTATCCGATTCGACAATGTGGATGAGGATGTGGATTAAATTTGATCGCCACCCATATTTACTTGAGATGGAGAGTATGCATGAAGAGCAGACGAGAGAAAGAGAGAAGGTCAACAGGTAGCTGAGGTTTTTACTTTGCTGTGTACATATTATCTTGCTGATGCTTCTTGTAATTGCACTATCCCCTTTGCTGCTGTAACACTACGGATTTCCCTGTTGTGGCAATAACAACTAATTGTCTTATCTTATTAGAAAAGAGCAGGTATTGGGGCTCCTAGAATAACTAATGTTACCATCTTCATTCATTGCCAGAAGCTATCCTCTTGATGTATAGGAAGGGCAAATGTAAGCATAAAATATAATAATATATTATAGGTTGTGTAATACAGAGGCATATATATAAGTACCCACACACTTTGGCATTGATTGAGGGCCTTACTGTAGAAATGATAATGGGTGCATCTTTCAGTAAGATAGTGGAAGTAGCAGTAAGCATTGATTGTCCACGGTTAGGCCCAGTGGCTAATCTTGGGCCGTACTCTCAAAGCTTCCTAGTACATAGAGTTTCTCCGAGTGACGAACTTCTAGGAAAATTCTTAGAATTGTGATGTTTTGAATTGTGATGTTGAAAGAGCTCCTAAGGTGAAAAACTGTTAGGAGCAGGGAGGAGGACTTTTAAGCAGAGGAGAAAATGGTGGAAACACAAAGAGATCAGAGAAATATTCTTCAAACTCTGGATGGCAGTGAGTAAATGAAATGCTACAGATTAGATTATGCAGCAGCAGTATCTGTTGTAAATCTCATTAGGGATACGCACACATTTCCCACCCAATGCAATAATGCTATAACACCAGAAATAAAATGATCACAACACTAAGATATTAAGAAACTGTAAAAATGCAACAATGCAGCAGTGATGATTTGGGTCTGTCTCAAGCTTCCATCAGCAGAGTGATCACACTAACAATGACAACACTTTCACAGTCAGCAGTTAATTTCATTTCCACTGGGTGTCCACACCTTGCAGGCTCACAAAAGGGTGTGTCTGTGACAACCAATCATATCTGTTAAAAGAATACATCAAGGTTCTGTCCCTGATACATGTTGTGCTGTCTACTGCTCTAGCATTACTACCTACCAGACTAAGCTAAATTTGAGGCTTCAACAACAGTTTTCCTGTAAGCAGCAGTACAGTTTTCATCGCTTATCTACAGAGAGGACTACGTTGCCACCCGTACTGTATATTGGTAATACCACATCATCCAATACTGAAAAATAAAATGGAATGTCCCATACAGGATGCGATTTGTCCCGTATTTTTGTGCAAATCCTACTCAAATGCACACATTACCCATAACCACATTTCTCTGTAGTGTTGTGGTAACATCACTCCTCTCTGAGTCAAATAACTTTCCAGTAGCGTAGTTGATCAGTTGACCGAATAGCATGGTAGTGTCTGCTAAAGTTACAAGATATTTTTCCCAGGAAAAGCTCTAAAATGCAGTGGACTATTTTCTGTGGAGGTCTGGATAAAAGTAAGGATAATAAAACTGAGGATAAGTAATGTGACTGACACCAGCGCCACACTGAGACATGTACACAAGGAAAGCACCTCCGCATGACATCAAATACTAATCCTTCAGTTTACTCTGCTTGCTGCTTTCGCTATTGGCTTTTCTTGGCAAGACCTGCCCTACTCTGCCTTTGACTGGCTACCTTTGCACTTCTTGGTGTGTCTCTCACGTGTCATGCCCATAGAGTGTATATATTTAGTGTATTTGCAGTGGACACCAGAGAAATTGACACAAGGGCCAAGAAAAGAGCTGAGAGACAGAGAACAGTATTAAGAAGGAAGATAGGAGAGAGACAGAGTGACATGATGATGTCACGTGTTATTTGCTGGATGTGTTCATGTTCTAATGTCCCAAAAATAAAGAGAAAAGTTTTCATTAAGGTCTCTTATTTTTATTGTTCATATTATTGTCTTTTATTTGTTCTGGTTTTATTGACTGAAAAACATGTTTTGGAATACTGTTTCTTAATTACTGACAGAGCCAGATAGCCGACTGAAAGAAGCCAAGACACACAAATGCATTAAGTTAGAAGAGGAGAGAGAAAGAAAGGGAAATAGGCCGACTAATTACTATAGGAGGACATGTTCAAATGTCACAAAGTCTTAGTAGAAAAAAAGATAGCTTTAATTTAAGTTGGTTATGCTAAAGAAAATCATTCAACTGAACATTTGATGGTAGCAAAAAGGTAGCTTTCCAAGTCGCTCATTTTCTCTCTCTCTTCTTTCTTTCCAAGTGTCTTGCCCAACACTGCTAAGTCTGCACACCTTGATTTATGTGTTTTCATCATCTAGGCTGAGAGTGTGTTACTGATTTGACGTAATTCTTTCATATCATATAAAATGAATGCCTAAAGTTATTTTTTCTATTCAATATAGTACTGATATTACTGAGGTCTGCTACAGAGTCATGCCATGTTTCACTCAATTGGGGGCCGGATAGGTTAATGTTTATGATAAATGTTTAATACTTCAATTATGTTAAAACTGGAACTTTACAAACCTCTCAAAAATCCTCATAAAGACTGGCATGTCGGTCCTTTAGACACTTTGCCAAAGAAGGCACTGTCGTTAACAATACTGTTGCAAATATACAGTATAACAGCACTGGAACTTTTAAAGATGCATGTATCACTCTGCTTTACAGGTATTCTGAGCCATTAATTATGTGAACTGTTAAGTAGCCAACATTAAGGGTCGTCGTAACAAACTTTGCACTACAAAATGAAACATATCACCACAAATAACATTTGAGTTAAAAAACGATTATTGCAAATTTCCAGGTATGCACATATGACATCAGAAGTGGACACAAGGTACTGATTAAGCTGTTAACTCATCAGCATCAAACATATTCCACCAATAGGGCTGTCAACAGACTTTTTTCACTGGTCGCAAAATAAATGGAAACACACAGATGTAGCATACCTGATACAAAGTAGCTGGTTTGTGGTAAAGTGTAGACCTAGTTTACACGAAGCTACAAGCTAGTGTGCAGGAATGTTTATGTATTGCTTGGCACCAGTGCAGTCCTGGTCCAGTTGCCAAACTATTTGTGTTAGTAGAGCCAAATAAACCATTAAATAAACCACTAAACAAACAAATCTAAATCTGTTGTCACTTTTTACTGTTGATTAATGGCACTTGTAGAACTGCTGTATAAAAGCAATATCACACCTGAGGTCCTGCTGCTATACTTAATATAAGCACGGCTGTGATTATCTTCCTATGACCAAATCACAGCCTTGCTAATATGCAGTACAACAGCACAATCTCGAGTTTGATATTGCTTAATTATGCAAACATCGATCTCCTGTGCCATTACGAGGAAATATTAGCATAATTAGGGCAAAATACAATATGTGCACAGTATGTAAAGTAAGGCAACGTAAGGTCTTGACATGATAACAAGAAAGAAACTTTCACTGTCTGCTGCAAAAGGAATGAATGCTCTAATTATTCTAGTTCTTATTTTAGATCTGTTTAAACGGGATTATGCAAAGGATATCCCGCGTCCATCCACAGGACATCCATTTTTAAAAGGTTAATAAATATCAAGGGTACACACACAGACACAAAGTCAGATGCACAAAAAATGCTGTCAACTTTATTTTTCACCAAAGGGCGATGGGTTTAACACTACAGAGTGCAATATAATGTGATCCAATTATTGTAAGACAATGCTTCAGGTGGTTTTATTTACATACTCTGGCAATCATGATGATACCCGTTTTGCTGTAGATCGAGTGTTAAGTTGGAGAGCTATAAAGGTAGGTAAGAGGTAGAGATACACATGTATATAAATCATACAATATGTTATTTATACAGCAATGTAAATGAAAAACAGAAACAAAGCCACAAATTTAGAAAGACCAAGAATTCAGAAAGACCAAGTTTCAATCCAGGATGGATCTTAACGCATCTCAACCATTTGGACCTGACGAAGCTCCCACTTGGACTGAAACTTTGTCTTTTTGAATTCAATTTGTGGCAAGTCTGTAGGCGTCTGCCATTTCACGAATAAATTATTTGAAAAATACGAGAAGACATTATGTACACTTAGGATGCCGTGAGGGATTCTGACTTCTTAGCTTATTAAGCATCCATCTTGGTCTCATGCTTCTCCTTGAGCAGTTCATCTATGAAATCTCTGACCCTGACCAGTGTCTGTTCGAAAATGTCTTCATCACTAGAAGAGGTGTCATCTACATCAACATCTTCATCTGCATCTGTAATTGCATCATCACCATTATCATTGTCTTCACTATCCACCAGCTCATCTACGTCAGCGGAGTCCAGGGTCACTGATTCCTCATCAGCATCGACCTCCATGTAAGTGGTGGACTCGGACATTGAATCTTCAAGAGTGGCATTCTTGAGCAGCTCATCGATGTCAGTGGAGTTGATGATGCTCTCAACCAAGTCATCAACATCAGCGGAGTTAATGGTGCTCTCCAACAGGTCTTCTACATCACTGGAGTCCATGTTGCTTACCAACTCATCTACATCAGTGGAGTTTATGTTGCTTACCAGCTCATCTACATCAGCGGAGTTAATGGTGCTCTCCAACAGGTCTTCTACATCACTGGAGTCCATGTTGCTTACCAGCTCCTCTACATCACTGGAGTTCATGTTGCTTACCAGTTCATCTACATCAGTGGAGTTAATGGTGCTCTCCAACAGGTCTTCTACATCACTGGAGTCCATGTTGCTTATCAACTCATCTATGTCAGTGGCGTTCATGTTGCTTACCAGCTCATCTACATCAGCGGAGTTAATAGTGCTCTCCAACAGGTCTTCTACATCAGCGGAGTCCATGTTGCTTACCAGCTCCTCTATGTCAGTGGTGGTTATGTTGCTTGCCAGCTCATCTAAGTCAGCATCATCGATGGAGTCTGAGTCTTCATCAGAGTCACTGTCTGCCAGCTCAGCCAAGTCAACGTCGTCGTCAGAGTCTGTGTCATCATCTGAGTCGCTGTCTGCCAGGTCGTCTATGTCAGTGGAGATGATGTTGCTCGCCAGCTCATCTACATCAGCAGAGTTAATAGCGCTTTCCAACAGGTCTTCTACATCACTGGAGTCCATGTTGCTTGCCAGCTCATCTACATCAGTGGAGTTCATGTGGCTTGCCAGCTCATCTACATCAGCGGAGTTAATAGTGCTCTCCAGCAGGTCTTCTACATCACTGGAGTCCATGCTGCTTGCTAGCTCATCTACGTCAGTGGAGTTCATGTGGCTTGCTAGCTCATCTACATCGGTGGAGTTAATAGTGCTCTCCAACAGGTCTTCTACATCAGCGGAGTCCATGTTGCTTGCCAGCTCATCTATGTCAGTGGTGGTTATGTTGCTTGCCAGCTCATCTAAGTCAGCATCATCGATGGAGTCTGAGTCTTCGTCAGAGTCACTGTCTGCCAGCTCAGCCAAGTCAGTGTCGTCGTCAGAGTCTGTGTCATCATCAGAGTCGCTGTCTGCTAGGTCGTCTACATCAGCGGAGGTGATATTGCTCACCACCTCATCTACTTCAGTGGAGTTGATGTTGCTCTCCACCAGCTCATCAACATCGGGGTCGGACATTGCGTCTTCAAGAGTGATGCTTTTGAGCAGTTCCATTATTTCAGGGCCGTGCTTGGAAAATGCATCCATTAGAGCCTTCGTGTCATCTTCATCTGTAGATGAAATTGCATCCATAAATAAAAGACAATTCGTCAAACTGTTGTCTGTAAAGAACTTGGCAGGTTTGGTAATTGTATTAAAAATTACACAAGACATTGACTTTCTAACATACATACAGAGTTATGGCATTGCATCAATACATAAGACATCTGGTGCACATATCACACTACTTCAAATATTATGACAACTATCACATCACATCAGATCATCTAGTTACCTGGGTCTACTGCAGCAGCCTTTTTGGCTGGTGCTGCAGTGATCACAACCACCAAAGCAAAGGCCAGCACCAAAATTTGGATCTTCATTTTCTGAAAGAAATCATAAAATCTTACATAAATACTATCAAACGGACTGTGAGCATTTAAGTAACTGACTCTGTTGGGTTTGTGAACGGAGTGAAATAAATGTACTGGACTCACCTTCAGTTTGCATTCACTCTCAGGTCCAAATGACTTAAACTCCAAACAGGAGTATTCTGACTGTCTGACCGATACACCTCAAATTTATACCCTTTTGTCCTAAGTTTGTTTGTACACAGTGATGAGAGCATCCAATGACGTGTCCTGGGTTTGCTAGTCCATGACAAACAATGCCCCAAGGCTAATGATGTACTGCAAATACACTGTATTTTATTTCAGTTTTATTACCTAATGTTAAATAATGATCAGGTGTACAGTATGTTTGGAAGTCCCTAAGTGAAAAAATTGAGAGCCTACTAGCATTGATTATACAGCTGCGGTTTAATATTTGCTTATTTCTAAACATATTTAAAGGTTAAGTGTGTAGGATTAAGTGGCATCTAGAGGGGAGACTGCAGAACAGGAACTTCCTCTGTCAACACAAAAACATTAACACGAATAGCTCTATCTAGAGCCAGGTTTCAGTTTGTCCTTTATGGGCTACTGAAGACAACATGGCGGACTCTGTGAAAGAGGACCCGCTCTGTATGTAGATATAAACAGCGCACTCTATGGTAACAAAAACACAAGGATTCTTATTGTCAGGTGATTTTAAACTAATGAAAATATAGCTGTGGGGCGCTGGTGGCTTAGTGGGTAGAGCANCCCCCCCCCCCCCCCCCCCCCCCCCCCCACTCATCTGTCCTGTCAATTAAAGGCTAAAATGCCCAGAAAAATATCTTTAAAAGAAAATATAGCTGTGAATATTATACTACATTAATGTAAACTGTAACCACAAAAACTATAGTTACCACCTCTTGGTTGTATGCCTCTACGAACCTGTCAACTTTGAACTTTGAACAGCTAACATCCATTTTTGTGAGTAATATGGATGCTTCACACATCTTCAACATGGCAGCACAGAAGATCTATACACCACACCAATTCAGTATCTGACCAAATGTCCCCCCTTCTGTTCCTGAGTTATGACACTGAATATTGGCCAGAAAAGTGTTTTTGCAGAATTTTATGATGTCACAGTGAAGTTGATCTTTGACCTTTCGGATAAAAAATGTCATCACTGTGAAATTTTGTCATTATTCGAGTATGAATTGAGTTTTGGACCAAAACATGTTTTGTAAGGTCAATGTGACCTTGACATTTGACCTTTGACCACTAAATTCCAATCAGTTCATTGAGATATCACGTTCACAAGAACACAACAGATGCAAGGTCACAATGAAGTTAACTGTTGACCACCAAAACCTAAGTAGTTTATCCTTCCATCCAAGTGGACTTTTGTGCCAAATTTTTAAAAAATGTCTCTAGATGTTCTTAAGATATCACGTTCATGAGAATGAGATAGACAAGGTCACTGTGACCTTGACCTACGGTCATCAAAATCTAGTCAGTTCATCCCTAAGTCCAAATAGGCAGTTGTGCCAAATTTGAAAGAAATCCCTCAAAGCATTCTTGAGATATTGCATTCACAAGAATGGGACGAATGGACAACCTGAAAACATAGTGCCAAAGGCATTATGAAACTTTTACACAAGCTAGTGTTATGTTGGGACCACAATAGTGTCCTGAGTTTAAGGCAATCAAAAACTTGTTTATCAAATATTTATCACAAATAATTGTTTTTCAACTCTCTTTCTCATTTGGCTAATACCCCAAGGCTCCGGTAAGTTTGCTGATAAACTGACCAAGTCAGCAAACAGCTGGTTTCAAATGAGGGTGAGAAAGCAGCAGTGTGCTCCTGGAAAAAAGTTTAGTTTCGTTTTTGATTGCTAAGAATTATTAATAACACAATTAAAAACTTTCTGAAGTAATAAATTTTATATCTACATAATTAATTTTACTGAACCAACCAAAACCAAGTCCTTAGTGCACTCAAGGCTTTTACACACCAGGAACATCATCTTTTTGTTCCTTTTTTTCTCCCATGCTCTTAATGTGTATGTCAGTATATTTTTTTTACTTGTTTTTGTCATGAGTATTTTCACAGAGAACGTGAATATGATGTGGTGAAAAAGTGACGTAATATTCTTCTGGAATGTGGTTGATTTTTCATCATCAACCAATCATGTTGCGCAGAACAACAATGGTGGACCTGTTGATCGCTTGTGTTTCTTGGTACCTTGTACTGTATGAAACTGCTCTTTCCTACTTTCATATCCATCTAACCTTAACCCTTTGGCTCCCACTTGAAAACCCCCAGACGGCAGTATAATTCCCACTCATAGTGTCACAGGATTGTAACATCTGGTCCTAAACTGAACCAAGGAGGAATAAAGGAGTTATAATTATCACAAAAGTACAGTGCAACATACACGTTGATGCAGCAGTAATTGTAATCCAGAAACATTAAATATAAAAGGAAAAAACTGGTTGGAACCATTTTGCTGTCCAGTGAGTACCTTTACATTAAGCACTTCAAGTACATTTCGCTGACTTTTACCTGTAGTGGAGTATTCTGACAGCGTGTTATTATTACTTTTATTGCAGTATAGGATATGAATACTTATTCTACCCCTGTTATTTGTCAAGTAACTGTGGCAACTGCTGAAGCTCATTGTACTAGAATTGCTGTCAAACTCCTTGCCATAAGAGTTTGAGGCAAAGTAGGCTTATTTCAGCAGCCCGACCTCTTTTAGCCAACCTCATTCACCCTGTGACAGACTGCCCCCACCATTTCAAAAAACTCACCAGATCTACACAAATCACACATATGGCCTAATTTAGATTGAAAATGGTGATTTTTGCCGAAAGGTGACAAGTTTGCAGATATACATATGTATATATAATAAATAATAATAATATACAATAAAGATATGGAAGAGGGTTTGTAATGAATTTATAAATATTCGGGGTACACACACAGACTAAAAAGCACAAAAAATACTGATACTGAAACTCAGATAAACCTTTTTATTTCATGTTGTCACAAGCTTTTACATCAACTTCAACTGTCAGCTTTTTTTGTCCCCAGAGGGCGACGGGTTTTACACCATGAAGTGCAATATGACATGATCCCATTATTGTACAACAATGCCTCAGATGGTTATATTGTACACAGTTTTACAATAGTGATACCCGTTTTGCTGTAGTTCAGGCGTTAAGTTGGAGAGCTGTGGAGGCAGAACAGGTAGATATACATATGAAAATACAGCATACAAAGTATAAGACTTTTTTTGTCACTGAATGTGTGAAGCACTTAAGTTAGGCTCACATGATCCTCACTTGGTGACATGTGTATGTTTTTCTCTTGAGATTACTTGATATCTTATATTATATTTAAAATGTTGTCTTTTTGAATACATTTTGTGGCAAGTCTGTAGGCATCAGTCATTTCAGAAATAAACTATTAGAAAAATATAAGAGGACATTCTGTATACTTGTGACATACAGGCAGAATGTCATGAGGGATTCTGACCTCTCAGCTCACTAAGCACCTTCCTTGGACCCATCCCTCAAGCAGCTCATCAATGCCAGTGTAGTTGACGGACACTGCATTCTTCACTCGTGAGAGACTCATTTGTGTCACTGTTGTATTTCAGCAGCTTAACAATTCAGCTTGGTACCAGGTGATTCCATCCTTGAAAGTGTTGCTCTTGGACAGCTCATCCCCCAAAGTCTTCATGTCATTTTCAGCTTTACATTTATTGCATCTATAAATAAAAGACAGTTAGTTCTTTCTTTCTAACATACATACAAATTTATGGCATTGCATCAACACATAAAACATCTGGTGCACATATCACACTACTTCAAATATTATGACAACTATCACATCACATTAGATCATCTAGTCACCTGGGTCTACTGCAGCAGCCTTTTTGGCTGGTGCTGCAGTGCTCACGGCCACCACCAAGGCCAGCACCAAAATTTGGATCTTCATTTTCTGAAAGAAATCATAAAAACTTACATAAACACTATCAAGCAGTCTGTGAACATTTAGTAACTGACCCTGTTGGGTTTGTGGAAGGAGTGAAATAAAGGTACTGGACTCACCTTCAGTTTGCAGTTGCTCTCAGGTCCAAACGACTTCAGCTCAAAACAGGAGTATTCTGACTGTCTGACCAATGCACCTTAAATTTTTTTGACCTATGTATGTTTGACCACAGTGAGTGCAGCATTAAATGAAATGTTTCCTCAGTATGCTAGTTTATGATAAACAATGCTCCAAGGGTTATGATGTAATGCAGAGACACACTGTATTTTATTTGACGTTTTTAATTAGTAACTATAGTTGGCAATGTTAAACATTGATCAGGTCTACAGCATGTTTTGAAGTACCTCAATGAAATCATTGGGAGCCTCCTGGCATTGATTGTACAGCTGTGGTTTTAGTATTTGCTTATTTCTAAATATATTTAAATAATAATCGCACAAAGTTTCTACACATAGAGGTATGAAGTCCACATAAGCCTGAGTTTATTGTGTTCATATTTGACTGATATATTGTTAATTATCAAAAGAATGAGTATGCCACATTCAAAATCACGCAATACCTGAACAAATCCAGGGTCATGACAATTACAAGATCTACTTACTTTTACTAAAGCTACTGTTATGTTACATTATAGCATTTGGTTACACCCACGACCACAATGGTATCCAACATGCTCAAAAACTGTCCTATTAAATAAAGGCAAAAAGGCAAAAAGAAAAGAAAAGAAAGGGTTCATTTGACAATTATGATCTATAAACAGTTGCTGTATTTGCTGTTAATGGACCCATACAACTCATTGTTAGAAAGCAACACTCCTTGCCATTTGATTGATGCAGACCATTTTAAGATACAAGCAGCTTCAATAAACGCTTCTGTCAGGCAAAAACAAACAGTTAGAAATCACAGTTATAAATTTACTATAATCCACAGATCGATATCCCAACGGAAATGCTGCTGACACAGTTCTCATAGGCTCCCAAAGGTCCAGACAATCTGAATCCAGCAACATATTAAGTCCAGAGTGACACATTATTACAACCAAAGATATCCACAAATTGCCTTTGCATCGTTTCAGTGTTCATATTTCTGCAAATGTTTTGCATGATTTCTTCTGTTTGCATGTAAACAGCTGACTTCTCGGATATCAAAATGCAGGCGAACTCCTGACCTTTTTAATGACACCTCAGTTGAACTATTAGACGCTTCATATTCTTTTGCTATGGCCTCCATAGCCAACAGGGCCTGTGTTGAAGGAAGATACATCCCTCACACTTTCTGGTCCGATAGCCAATCAAAATGAGTGGCCTGATGGCTTATGGGCCTTAAATAGAAATTTCTGTCTTTGTCGACTTATTTTTCACCCATATTTTCACATTCAGTGCACAGTTTTACCCTCTTTTTTGAAAAGTGCCTGGATGAAACATGTAAAATGTTTATTTTCTGTGATATTGTTATCTAATTTGAATTTGGACATATTCTGGCAAAGTTAAAAAAACTTTTATCAGTGTATTGAAACTTATATAACTCAATGACAGAGGCACTTACAGTGATTCTGTTGGGGGAAATCTTCAGTGTTACCTTTAAAATGAGACCATGGATGAATATGAACTGAAAGTGGAACAAGACCAGTTAAAAAAGTCAGGCCAAAGCTGCATGCAAATACAGAAACAGCATTGTTCTTGTATTGCAGTCTAGAACCACTTAGTGCTAGTCCCCTATTTATTATAGGGAAAGTAGTAGTAGTAAGATCCAACTGTTTACATACTAACAGAGACTTGTTTGGCTGCTTTGCCTAGTCAAATAACCAATATCTAATTTGTGTGTTGGTATTTTCAAACGTTTCACTTTCATTGTAACAAGAGGAAAAAGCTTTTACGATGTGAACTCAATGTGTTTGGCAAACATAACATTAACCTTTTTTTTTCCTGATGGCACAGACGTTTCCAGTCGCCTCTCTGTCTGTTCTGCTAAATTTGCGCTAAATTTATGTTCTTATGTCAATTTTGGAAATGTCGGGGGTGCTTTTTTTTTTTGCTGTGGTGCCGTGTGGCAGCTAGTGGGCCAGGTCAGGGTTTCTAAATGTAAACATCAGTAAACATTAAGAAAAAGATGGGGAGGATCAGTACCAGCGGAACTAGCATCCTGCTAGCAATTGTAAAGGCGCTGCGTAATAAACTGGACAACATCCATCAGTTTCAAATGGGACACAGGAACTGTAATATCCTTTCAACAAAGCTTTGCTAAATCTTGGAATACCAGACAGCATTCAGCCAGGTGACTCTTTATCTATTTGCTGATCTGACAAAGCACATAACTCTAGTGAGAGAGGGGGAGAAGCTGTGTGCTTTCTGGTGAATAAGAACTAGTGGACCGGTGTGACAGTGGGAATGTGAGGTGCTGTCCCGTTCCTGCCCGCCCTGCGCAACAAGGGATATAAACACTCTGGCTCACTACTATATGCCATGAAGAGGCAGCTGCAGAGCAGAGCTTCTACCCATGTTCCGGTGGAGCGACCGTGAAGCCATCTTGTTGAGGTTAAAATGTGTAAACAAACTACAATGTATGCCCCAAGTGACGCCAAAGACGGAGCCAGACACCATCATTGATGTCACAGATGACATCAATGAATTCACTGAGTCTGTGGTGGATTTAATTAGTAAAACAACAGAAGGAACTGTACCCATAACTACAGCTAAATCTTTCAGCCGTGCTTGCTGTTGCTGCATAAAAGTATGACGCCATGATGTCAGCAAGTCGGAATACTGCCAATATTACAATATTATTATAAAAATTATTTAACAGTGTCATACACCACATAACATTACTAACCTTATATATCTCTGGAACATTACATGCAAAGCCTACATATGTTTTTTTTGCCCAGGAGCTAATGTTAGCTGTTGTGCCCTTTTAGCAAAGGCTCCAATGAGATCGTATCCCTTTCAGAAGCTCTCTAATCCTGCCCTCAGCTGCAGTGTCTTTTTGAGACTTCATAAAATAAATCCATAATTATAACTTTGACAATGTCTTCTGTGATTATGTATTCTTTTTCTGTGTTTAAAACAGTTATTGTTGTTAGCCAGTCCATGCTTTGGGATATGTATGATGACCAATCAGAGGTTGTGTTTCTGACTGTATGGCCGCTCTGATCTCAAACGCATGTGATTAGTCCAGACTTTACACATGAAGATGAAAGGGGTCCGTTATTTATTCTTATTGTAAAATTAAATGTAAATTTTAATACTGTCATTAACAAGGAAAGTAAATATATATATCTATAAATATATAAATGTTCTGTAGACAGACAGACAGACAGACATATGGATGGATAGATAGACAGAGAGATCGACAGACAGACAGACAGACAGACAGACAGAGTAGAAGTGAGGATTTTTAAGTGGGCTGGGGCCTGGGTAAAGCTGGGACAGAAACTATGTGGGTGTAGTTACTGCTAGTAACTGTGGCCACAAAGCTAGTTAGCAGGACATACTAATATTTGCAGCTTACCATGGACCAATTACACACATTGTTTCACCCACAGCTTACACTATTGCTCTTGTGTTTTTGGATTTGGAAAGGCTAAAAACATGAGGGCATCGCTTTTACTTCAGCCCCATGTACACAACTTCAACATGTGCAGAAATCCAAAGCTTGACAGGCCTGCCATGCCTGCCAACGTACAGTAATGGTTGCTGGCCCCTAATCAACTTAAAATCTAAATTGTCTTTTGGCTCATCTTGTTATATTGAAATTTACATTTCCTGATTTTACAATCTTACTTTACCAAATTCAAAATTACACAACTATAACTTTTGAGTATCTTAGAGTACATTATAATCTCCTATATTTTTAATCTACATAAAACATCTTATGCTATTTTCCAGAGAGAGTTACCACTACTGTCTCTATTAATAACTAGAAAAGTGCACTCAGTAGCATGCAGATCTCAGCCAGGTGGTCACACAGGCTAATCACAGCCACTCAAGACAGTTCCTGTAATTGCAGCAGACACACTGCAGTGTGTTGCAGAGTTGTCTCAGAAGCTACATACTAGGTAAGGCTTGGTGTTTTTGGACAATTTCCAGAAAACTTGCAGCCCCTACTGGCTGGTAAATAGGAGTGAGGACTCTGCAGTCAATGACCTATATAACACTCAATAAAACAGGTTTTTCAACAATTGTGAATCACCACAACCACGAGATGCCCTCAAACATACAGTCATAAATGTGTACACAAAATATGAAGCTGATTAGTCCAGTAGTTTGCAAGATTAGCTGTAGGCAGACAGACACACACACACTCAAACACATGATCCCCTTCAGGCTTATGCCTGGCGGATATAACAGATTGTTGAATTTGTTCTCATGGCTTAAGACCTTTCACACAGTCAACCCTGTCTCCCCCGACCATGGTGACACAATTGCTCTTGTTTTATTAATGGTTGAGCCCTGAAATACAAGTAAACAAAATCTAAAATTTTATATCAAAACTTAATTATTAGTGTTTTAACTTAACCTGTACAATTTAATGCACTCCAATACCATGGCCCTGAATTTTCAAAACTTAAAATGGCTTTTCAGCTTTTCATGACAGTTAGAAAAATGTTCCCAAGAAATATATCTCCCCAGATTAAGTTTAGAAAATCAGTAACACCTGGTATTAATAATTTAAGCCAATACAACATCACTGCTTAATAAAAATGAACTCTGGAGACACAATGTCAACAGAAACTAAGCGTCGTAAACACATTGGTAGGAGTTTTTGTGCGCGACTGTATTCGATCTGAAGGTGTACTTACTGAAATAAACTGGTGACTCATTGTATATGTATGAGACAGTTTATTAATTTAAAGATTTTCTCACTTCCTGTTCAAGCTTCTAACAATTTTTCCCAGAGCAAATATGCAGATGCTCTGGTTCAAAAACAGCGCAAACCTTTCTATGGATGTCAGTTTTGAGCCACAGTGAAGGCCCAAATGTGGCCTGCAACAGACTAGATAAGACTTGGTGGTTTTAGCTGAGACAATTTCTAGAAAACTTGCAGCCCCTACTGGCCGGTTAAGAGGAGGATTTAGGAGCCAGCGGCCAGTGACCTGTAAAA